TCTTGTTTTATATTGATAAATTATGGCTCCTCTGTAATATTTTTGAAAATCAGTCACCAAATATGGAAACTAGAGATTGTAAGCTTTCAAATGATATATACTGTAGTTTGTCAATATTATTTAAGGTATTTACTAAGATATTATTGTTTTAAAAATATAGTGGCAAACGTCCCACCTGTGGGACGGTGACAGTTAAGTAATACAAGTTTACCTTGAACGCCATGAAAGTAGCGTCAGTTTTCAGCTATGCGGATACAAAGGTGCCATCGACAAAAGCGAAACGATAACATTACAACATTTGTCATACCAAAGTCAAGAATCACACAAGCATTCAAATGTTAAATTATTTGTATTGATAGTTTATACAATGAAAGCTCTCACTCCCATCCTTCCCACATTATTCATATAGTCCTAATGTTTTCCTACGCAGTTGAAGTTATACAAAAGAAATGTAAAACCTGACACAAATATTTTTCACTAAGCTGGTAAACTCCAAACCTGAGTTATATGAATCGTCTTTTGGTAAATGCCCTCTGGTGTTGGAACAAGGCAACGACAAAATTTAAAAAGGTTTTGCACCGCATTTCATCATCAGTCCCGCTAACATCTAATAATAACTAGCATATTAATAGTCATTTAATTGTTACCCAAAAGTTTGAATAATGCATAGGCTATACAATATACATAAGATAAGCACCATACATAAGATCATATTCTGGTTTGATGTTTTGGATTTATACATTCTTACCACTGTATAAAAAAAAAGCTGAGGTAGGCTACTAAATTCATTTGATTCACATAGCACCTTTCATACATTGTACAGCTTGACATGTTTTTCTTAATGATGGTCATATTCTGTGCATGTACTGAGAATAGCATAAAGTGAATATGTAAATATGAAATAAGACTAATATTTAATGTTTAGGCAACAGATATTGCAAAACCTGAGGAAAAAATATCCATGTAGATGAAAATCAGTGGTTAATGAAATATACAGACAAATGTAACATTTATTTAATGAACTTATTCGTCTTAGGTTAAATCTTTGATGGAGGGTTGTATTTGTGGTCTTTATTATTTTTGTGTAATTATTAAATTAAGAAAAATATATGTATGAGTTCTCCAGGTTTTAAGGAATCAGGACCGACATTCACTTGTGAAAAGGCAAATGCCCTGAAAGGCTCTGTTCACTGCATACTTGTTTACAACAGCGCAGCGCTCAAAAGCTGGTGCTTTGCACCATATCATAGGCCTTATAAAGTTGATTAAGAAGCTCCTTTTTCTCATTTTCAGGAAGGAAGCAGGACTTGGCTGCATTGATATTCTGTAGGAAGGGAAGCAGACGGGATAATTAAAATCATTTTCTCCATGATATTTGTACCTTGGACTCCATTAGAGTGCTTTTGGCAAATTGTATCTCACCAGTCTCTTGAATTCTTCTTCAGTGAAGCCCATGTATTCCTGCGCCACCTGGTAGTCTGAGTTCAAGTCGGCGTCAAAGATGGTAGGATCATCTGTGTTTAAGGAGTAGTTGGCTTTGTCCTTCTTGAATCTGAAACACAACAGGGCTTTCCTTTCACACTTCCAACTAGTTAACCCTGGGTCATTAAACCCCGGGTAAACTTAATCCTAGGTTGCTTTAGGGCTTTCACACTGCGCTGAACCTGGGTTACGTTCTAAACACTCCATTTAGTATGGAGTGGCTGAATTTTGGAGTGTTCGAATGTAATGGCGAGATGCTTAGCTACAGACAGCCAATCATGTTGCTCATATCTTTGGCTTTGGACAGTCAAGTACATTTTTCAGCGTTTGAGGGGACAAATGTCAAGTGTGCTTAAAGGAACACTCCGACTTTTTGGGACTTTAGCCTATTCACCTTACCCCCCAGAGCTAGATAAGTCCATACATACCTTTTTCATCTCCGTGCGTGCTATAAGTCTGTTTGACGCACCCACCGCTAGCCTAGCTTAGCACAAAGACTGGATGTGACTGGTTGCAGCTTTCATACTGATCCAAATGAGTGACAAAATAACGCAAACGTTTTCCTATTTACATGTTGTGGTTTGTATAGTCACATAATGTACAAATAACAAAGTCAAATGAGACACAGACATCTTTTAACCGTATAAAACCTGGGAACTATTCTCTGAAGGCGAAGCACTGCTACTTTGACGGCGTAATAACCGCATCACCGGAGACACGCCGTGGTGAGGAGCGGAGAGTTCGCTCGGTGTTTGGGTAATAGAGTCAGCAATTTATAAATAGTAAAAGCGTAGTTTAGAGTCATGGGTTTTCGCTCTATTGTAAATAGCTGTGACTGTAAACAGGGGAGGTAATACCATGTTTCACAGAATTCCAACTAAAAACGCTGACTGGATGAAGAAATGGCTAACTTACTCTGGATATTTATCCAAACACACCTAAGATTATCAAGGGACATTATGTTTGCTCGGTACATTTCAATGAGGACGACTATTTTGAAAAAATGGAATTTGCCACACGGACCATACTGTGCTGAAGGATACGGCCATCCCATCGATAGCACAGACAGGACAAGTGGATCACCTGCGGCTGAGGTAAGTGTTCCGTTATGTTTTTAGATGACCTACTGTAACAGTGCCTTTAGCCAGATCTAATGTAACGTTAGTGACACTATTATATGATTAGGGTATGAATATGTTTTTATCTTGATGCGGTGCGGACGCGCTTGGGAAAAAAAACTAACGCGTTCACCGCGTTGAACTTGCACCCTGCGCGCGGCGCGCCTAGTAGCCTAAATTTGAAATAACCATGGAAATAACGAACTTGAGCGTGCAAAAGGGTACGATAGGCTGTGAGTTCATTGTGCAAAAACAATTTGTGCTATTACTTTCCCCTTATTCTATCCTATAGTAATGCAAAACTGTATTTATATAGGCAAATGTTACTGTTGAATACATTTGGTTCAGCTAATAAATTGCATTTAAAACATATTGATTCCTGTAATAATAATTATTTATTCATGTGATATTTATAAATCTGGGTGCGTTTTTGGTTGGAAATCAATGAAACATGGTACTGTATTACCTGGTCTCCCCTGTTTATTGTCACAGCTCATACAATAAAGCAAACACCCATGATAAACTTTGCTTTTCTATCTAACGTTAGTAATTGCTGACTCTTTATTCCAACGCTGAGCGAAGCGAACTCTCTGCTCCTCGTCACGGTGCGTCTCAGGTGATCGTTATCACTCTGCCCAAGTAGCAGTGCTTCCCCTTCAGAAAATATAGTATTTATACGGTCAAAAGATGTCTGTGTCTCATATGGCCTTGATATTTGCACACTCTGTGACTATACAAACCACAACATGTAAATAGGAAAACGTTTGCGTTATTTTGTCACTCATTTGGATCAGTATGAAAGCTGCAACCAGTCACATCCAGTCTTTGTGCTAAGCTAGGCTAGCGGTGGGTGCGTCAAACAGACTTATAGCACGCACGGAGATGAAAAAGGTATGTATGGACTTATCTAACTCTGGGGGGTAAGGTGAATAGGCTAAAGTCCCAAAAAGTCGAAGTGTTCCTTTAAGCATTCTGTCCTTTTTAGTGTCGCATCTTATCAAATCCTGTTTTTGGTTCGCTTTGATTTCTTTAGTCCGTGTTGCGTTCATATTTCAGTGGAACCACGCCCGAGTTCATTTTGAATTGGACTGATCTTTTCATCGGTGTCTGTCCACTTTCTTGGTGTGAACTAAGGTTCGGATGACAGTGTTTACAATGAATTGTTCAAATGAACCACACTAACAGAGCAATCACACCAAGTTTATTTTATTCAAACCAAATCTGCGAACACACCCTAAATTACAAGTGTGAAACGTTCCTTTACCCGGGTTAAAGGCGGGGCTTAGAACGAAGATAACCTGTTGTTAAGTACAGTGTGAAAAGCTCTAACAAGAATTGCCCAATTTATCTCTGAAATGTGCCATATGTCTGAGTGAAACAGTAGTCAATTATTTAAAAATGTACAGCGGTACGCCTGTTTAATTTTTGGGAATGGATTAGATGAAAAAAAGGATGTTATACGCAACAAAAATGAAATCAGACCGAATGGGAGTTTGCTAAAACTGTTAAAATAGGTATTTGTTGACATCACACAAATGGCCTGACTGATGGCAAAGTGGAATAACATGCACCAATAAATCGTTCACAATGAGACCAGGAATGTTCATAAAAAAAAATGAGATGAAGTAAATAAACCTATTCTCACGTGATGAGAGGATGTTTAGTGAAGTCTGGGTCACAGGCACCAGTCAGTCTGCTAGAGATGGGACACGTCTAAAACAAGAACACACACAAACACCATCAAGATCACAGTGATGTTGAACATTATGATGTGTATGTATATAACCTTTAAACATCTCATAAATATTCTGGTTGCAAAAATGTAAATATTAGTACGCTGAGACTGTACAGTGACATGTATAAACCCAGATGTTAACTAAATTGTCCACTAGAGGGCTGTATGGATTTACATTTCAGGAAATATTTCTGGCCAGAGCCCCATATGATGCAGCTTTCATGTCCCTCTGACACACCCAATTCAGGCCAAGGAGCGCACAGCTAATGACCCAATCAGATGTTACATAACGGAGATATCAGGGTAAGTGCCCATAACCTATATGCAATAATATCTGGTTCGCTGTGTCAAATATTTTCAAAGATAACAAACATCAAAATGCGCAATGTACTAGCAAATGTGAGTGTATATATGTAGGCTATATGTGTATATACAATAGTCAACTTTTTGAAATGGATCAAAAAAGTTCAAAGTTGTAAGACAAGAACAGGTATTGTTTAAAATTCATGTATATATTTTTGATGAAAGGTTTTGATCCACTTCATATGTATGTATGTATGTATGCATTATTTGCCCCCTTGCCCCCGAAATATGATCAAAGATGGCTGTAAAATAAAAATTCTCTTTTTTTCTGACCAAAAATCAGGATCTGGAGAGATAATATATTTTAAAATGAAATTTATTCCTGTGATGGTAACGCCGAATTTTCAGCATCATTACTCTAAATCAGTCTAATATGCTGATTTTAGAGTTAGAAATCAGTCTAATATGCTGATTTGTTGCTCAGAAAACATTTCTTCTTATTATTATTTTTATTATCATCATTTTACATACATTTTTACTTAGGATTTTTTGGTAAATCGAATGTTCAAAAGAACAGCATTTATTTAAAATAAAAATCTTTTGTGACAAGTGACAACATAAATGTCTTTGCTGTCACATTTGATTAATTTAATGCATCGTTTCTGAATAAAAGTATTAATGTCTTATTAATTAGTTCTGGGAAAATCTTTATCATCATTGTTTGAAAGTGCTACTTTCTCATTGGGCCATTATTGTATATGAGTACTTTGACCAAGACTGGAGTCGTGCAATGTACAGATCTATATGACACATTATAAAGTCATGCATATTAATGCATATTTTATCAGACAACTGATGTACAAATATGTGGGTGTGTATCTCAAAAATGATTTCTGCAACTGTCAGTAAGCTGCCATCTACGGTTACCTCAAAATGCATGTTTTGTTTGAGCAGCTGTTGGTACAGTGCTGGATCTTTAGGCGTGTTGTATCCATGTCCAATGCGTTGTGCTTTCAGAACTTCCACAGCCTGCAAAAGGAACATATGCGGGTGTGTTTTTTTTTTTTTTTTTTTTTTTTTTTTTGTGGTTTGACATTTTGAAAAATGAGCTGAGCAGTTGTGCTGTTTTCTGAAATATCTGCCATATAATTTAGTACTTGGGAAGGAAATGTACTTCACAGACAGATTTTCCACACAGAATCACTCTGATAGTTAAGAACAGACTCCGCATTGTTACACAATTTTCCATCTATACAACAGAAAGCAGATGGACAAACACTGTTGCCATGCGAAGCACATTTTCTGTGGTTGGCGTGTTCTTGCTGAATTCTATATTTTAAATGATAAGCAAAAGAGGAAACATGTACCTCCTTCACCACACTGGCAGGGCCCACTTCTCCTGCATGGACTGTGCGGTGCACCTCGCTTCTGACTGCTTCCTGTCAAAAAACAAACTCAGTGAACTCACAGCTAAACACAGCACTTCAGCATTTCTAGTATGTGATGTGAAGGATATGGCTTTCAAACACTTGTGATTGTAATCTTCGGTTAGATCATGGGATGACAAAAAAGCGTGTTTTGTTTCCTGAATGTCTCAGCTGCAGCTCTTAGCACGCTAATGGTACAAACAGATGTCTCCGTTGATTTGGAAACGTATTATCCATAAATTAGATGACAGACAAAGCACAGTTAAATCTCTTTAAGTTTTAAATACATCAACTAATCAAAAAGTTTTATTATGATGTCAGACTTGTACATCATCAGTCCTTCAAATATCCAAAAGTATTGCCTTCTTTTCTTTTTCAGGGAAAAAAGTCAAGGAAAATCAAGTCTTTGACAAGACAATTGGTTGATAAGACATACGATTATCATACACGTTCTTTCAAATTAATTGAATCCAGTGCAGGACATTTTGGTAATGTTCTTACCTCAAACGCTCTCTTGTGTCCTGTGTTCTCACAACTTAGGGTTTCATCTCCTGCTAGATCTATTGCCACTACTCCATCTTTACAGTACTTCTTACACAGCTCGACCACTTCCATAGACCAATCTACAATGACAATAAGCAATAGATTATAAAGGTTATTGATAGGCTGCATACATACTGCCTGTCCAAGTTACTGTTATATTTGTCTATTTAAATCCAAACAAATACAAATTAGAGTTAAATTAAAAAATGTCCTCTCAAGTTTTTTTAATGGCAGTGAATGGATGCCAGAGCCGCGTGGAGACTTTTATTATGGATAAATGCACTTTGATGGACTTCAAAACAGAAATGGCCATTCACTGCCATTTATAAAGCTTGGAAGAGCCAGGACAGATTGTATTCGTCTGAAAGAAGAATGTCATATACAACTAGTATGGCGTGAGGTTGAATAAATCATGGGCTGATTTTTATTTTTGGGTAATCTATCCCTTTCAGGTTTAATTAGACAAATACTTAAAAGAGTCTATGAATGGATCATTATTTCTATGATTATTATTTTTTTAGCACGTTATATATTTGGCAACAGTTCTTGTAACCCTAATTGATGGAGTGAGAAGCTTTTCATTTCTTATTAAAGGCCAGTTCACATCGCATAGACAAACACCAACAAATAAGTTAGCAGTTGGATTTATAATTTTATGAAAAATAACTGTCACACTAACACACTTCCCCAACAAACAGACAAATGCTGATTCAACATGTTCTCTTCAGTTGGGTGAAAATCTTATAGGCTAAAAGTGATGACTATTACTTCCTTTTATACTACCGTTCAAAAGTCTGGAGTTAGTACAATTAAAAAAAAATGTAATACTTTAATTCAGGAAGGATGCATTAAATTGAACAAAAGTGACGTAAGGACATACGTTTCAAATTATAATGCTGTTCTTCTCTTTCCATCAAAGGATTCTTAAAAAAAACATGTTTTTTACAAAGGTTAATGATAATAATAAATGTTTCTTAAGCATCATGTCAGAATATTATGGCCTTTTCACACCAAGAACAATAACTACAAAAACTAACTTTTAACAATATCTATATTAGCATTCACATCAGCGAACAATATCGTTCTGTTTATTGTAGGTGTGCATTGCAGATTTGTCGTCTGTCGCTTTAAATACTCGAGCTCTAAAAGAAGAAATGTTTTTAATTTTCAATTTTCAACTAGAATTTTTTTTTTTAATTATGTCTTTATCGTTATAGTCATTCTTGTGAACAGGGTTTTAGAATGTTTCTAAAGAATTATGTGACACTGAAGACTAGAGTAAAGGCTACTGACAATTCAGCTTTGCATCATAGGAGGAAATTACATTTTAAAATATATTTAAATGGAAAAAAGTTAGTTTACATTGTAAAAAAGTTTCACAATATTACTGTTTTTAGTTTTGAGCAAAAAATACTTGTCAAAAAAATGAAAAGATCATACCAACCCCAAACATTTGAAAGGTAGAGTACATGACAAATCTGTTGTTTCAATAGTGTCTGTATTTACAAAACACATTGCACCAAGAATGAATCACCAAGTATTCCAAACTCACAACAGCATTTCCAAACAGCCCATCCTATCTGAATTTCAGATGGGAACAAAAAAAATCTGAGCTTATTTGCAGGAGACAGGTTTGGCCAGTGGTGTGATGATTGATTTAACAGCATTGGTTATGACAGAGAGCTGTGGATTAATGTGCTTTAAATGAAGGATGACAGTAAGGCGTATCCTCTCAAACACACAGCACACTGGGTGGGGTGGTTGAACGTGAGAGTGCATTACTTGGCATGTGACGCATGCAGCACAGAATGGACCTGACTTTAGTTTTGAAGGCCTTCTCTCCCTCCTTAAATCCCTGGTTCACCAGGTCCACCACATCATCTGGAGTGATGTCTCCTCTGGGAGGAAGAGAGAGAACAAAGCCAAGAACAGGGTTATTGTGGAAGAGAAAATGCAAACCAACATGATTATTGTAACAAATAAGGACAATAAAACAGCAGATATGGTACACGTACGGTTTTTGGTTCCATTGTATAGGATCCACTCCCTTGTTGGCCAGTAGATGAGGGCTGTATCTGGCTTCAACATAAATCACTTTCTCATTGGCCTTTGTCTCTACAAACTCATAAGCTATTCTCTTGATGGCCTCTCTGTCCCCTCTGCAGATGAAACATGCAACAGATAAGACATGATGGCAAATAAACAAACCTCCTACCCGAATAGGCCTTGTGACCTACAGAGTCCATACATAATGTTATGAAAGTTATGCTATATGTTAGAAATTGATGAACAAACAAATTTGCATATATGTTTATCCAGGGCTTCGTATATCCAGGGTTAATGTCAATACATTAACATTGACATTGAATTTTATATATAATATACATGATCCATTAATGTATTTTAAAAAGGCATCTGAAATAATAAACTAAAGCCAGTCTTGCAGTGTGTCCCCGGCATAATTGCAACGTAGTGTTGTCAAAAATAACAATTTTCCGGTTCATAACACTGAAAAATCTTAAATGTTTTCAATACTCATTTTCCGCAGAATAGATATACGTATTAAAACATAGTGTTGTTTTAATTTAAAGTAAACAGTTGGGAAAGAAAACGCATGTGTAACAGTATAATGGATCTGTGTGTCAGGTCTTAAAGTGACAGCAGCCTAATATACTAATATGCTGCCAAATTATGAGATAATATTAAAAATATCTATATGACAGTTTTTTTTCCCCATGTTATCCATGTCAAAATTTCTCATGTTACTGCCTCCGTAGAATCGCTTATGTCATCTGTTTTCTCATTTGTAAGTTGCTTCTGATAAAAGCATCTGTTCTTTTGCTTATGAACTCAGTGTTGTGAATATGTGAAATTTGATTTATTTTTCTTCTTTATCAATGGACATATATACTACATGCTGTAAAGAGGCGTTCTCTTAGAAATGGCTGAATGTTTTATTTACACACTCATAAAAAGAAAAGTTCCTTAATTGCATAACCATGTTCCAATGTTCACTTGTTCCAAGAACACCCCTGCAAGATAGCAAAGGCCATAATCATTTTTACAACTCCGTAACAATAACGCTATGATACTGATTTTAATCAGCTCACTGGCATGGATGTTTCTTTCATTTTTTTGTTTTTTGTTTTTGAGTTCCCTCTCTTAGTCACATTATGCTTGAAAGTCCTAAATAAAAGTGCCAAAGCATGTTTCCATTTTACACCACATGACATGCATTGAGCCCGTTTAAAGCACAGGACTAGTCTAGTGGGTGCCAAAACAGCCATTGAGTTCCCTGTGTTGTTTTGGGGGAGGCGCATGCTGTAAACAAGGCCCTTTTAAAGTTTCCAAGGACTAGAGGTTCCTTTTCAATGAAGCTTGTCAGCTGCCGGCCAACAAAACCGCTGGCGGCTCTGCCTTTCATGAATTCGTGTCCAAGCATTTATCTCTCATGTTCATGAATCTGAGTGGAAACGAGTAGAAAATGTCACATTATCTGACTCTTGTTGAGAGGATTGTGTGTGTGGACAACAAACTAAGCCTATGCCGAGGTTATATGTCCATTGCTATAGCGTCACGTGCTGAAGCTGTGACGTGAGCTGCATGTAAAGATAGGACATCAGAAATGATACTATGGCCTTGAGAGTATATCCACCTCCAGGCTCACTCACTCACTTATTAACTACGTGAGCGATGCTTCAGATGTGTGAAAAAATTGAGTTAACATCCATGGAATTCATTATTGACTTCCCTTTTGCCCCTATGGTTTTTTTTTCTCTTAATCTAAAGAGAGTAATATAATATAGTGTGAAATCCCATTACATGCAAGATCTTTAAGCAAATCCACAACACAAAATATTTGCAGATATTTTCTCAACACTTACGCAATAACAGGCATGAAGTGATTGAACTTGTCAAGAAACTCTTCAAATTTTTTGACTGGCTCGTGAACTTTGCACAGGTCTCTCATTTTATCCTCACCGCTCACAGGAAGAGTGATTCCCCGCCGCCTGAGACACAGTTACAGCAGAGGGCACTGGTTAGAGCTTTGACAGTTTAAATGGAAAGACCACAGAATGGCACAGAATCATAATATCCATTTACCCAAACTTATCCGATGCCCAAGCCAGGGGTTTTTTCCACTTAAAAACCACTCAATCCCCGCCAGATTATTTTTATTTCATGAATAAATAAGATAAGTTGGTATCACAAGCTGTTTCTTTGCATTTATTTTGGATTTGTTGTCAGTACTGGGCTTGCAGTTCACATGGGTATAGGGTACTTTGTACTGTATGTGGTTGACCATGTTAGTCTGCCACCACCCAAGACCAATTATGACCGAGGGAAAACCCTGTTGGCATTCAAAAATCTTTAATTCTTGGTGAAAAACACACTAAAGCAGGTCACAACTTGATAGTTCACATTGAACAAGGACTGACAGGCTTCAATCATTGTAAGTAGTTCATATTTGATTTGAGAGCTGCAGTGCATGTAAGATTAACAGTTAATAATAAATTTGGCGTTCTTCCTTTTGGCTTCAGAAGGCTTGAAATATAACAGAAATGCTATTTTCAAAAACAACAATAATAAATGTAAATACAGTATATCAAATATAAATTGTATAAATTATATTATAAAATATTAGAATTATATTATACTAGTGCAAAATGCCTGTGCAAAATAATTTTTTGGTGTGTGTTTTTAGCAATTGTTGGTTTGGTGCTTTTGCATTTGTGCAAAACAATTGCAATTGCATTTACTACAAATGATGGCCGTGAAAGAGACTGCGTACGCTAAACAGCGTAACTGACTTACAGATTCAGTTAACAAATGAATAAGAATGTTTGTTTATTTTTAAACCACAATTTTTAAACCACAAATGTTTATTTTTGCAACATGACATCATGACTTTTGCGTAAACATACACGCCACTTTCGAGCCAAGTGGCGTGTTATCTCTACGCATTTTGAGCTATCCGCGTGTATCCGCGTGTTTGCGTGCATGTCTACGCCATTAACGTCCACGTCATTCCGCGTGTCTGTACACGACGTCAAATCTCCAGTCATAAATGCCATTAACCCCAGTGACGGTTAAGTTTAGGGATGGGGTTGAGGTAAGTCATATCTTTTTCTTTCCTAGGATGGTAAGGGAACAGTCATAAATGCCATTAACCCCAGTGACGGTTAGGTTTAGGGACGGGGTTGAGGTAAGTCATATATTTATATAACGTTACGTCAACGGCGTTCATAAACACGCTGAAAAGCGATTATGCGTCTTGATAGCACGCCAAAAATGGAAATACGAATTGGCGTGTCATACACACGCTACTTCATGAGATCAGTCTGATTTTTAAACCACAACTTCAATGTGTGCTTCTATTACAGATATATTTACCCATATCTTTTCCCATTTCTAATCCTAACAACGTCAAACTCAGCACTGCACTTACTCGTGCCCGTGGCAAAACACTTGTCAAGTTTGAGATCCATCGGACTAACGGTTCGAGAGATATACGATTAACAGACAGACACACACACACAGAGACAGACAGACGTTCCTGTAATTTATAGAAATTATAAAATAATACTTTCTGCAATTCATAGAAAAAATAGCAACAAAGGATTAAACAGTCATGGGGATGAGGAAATAATAATAGTTTTCATTATTCCTTTAAGGGGATTCTGAGAAGCTATGAAAGACATTTTAATAGTTTCCTATAGGACATTTTAGGTTCTTCGTGTATTTATCACAGTATGTAAAAGGAATGCTTGTCACTTACTTTGCTACATCTATAATGGTCTTGATTCGAATAGCACCATCAAGATGCACGTGTAGCTCAACCTGCAAAGATAAAGGAGCAGCAATAAAATACATCTGTATTTCAATTGACTTTTTTTTCACACCACTGAACAACATGTCACAGTGAATTATAGAGACACTTAATACCACAGAGCAGAAGCACATTTGTCAAAACCGAGCTCAGCTTTCAGCCTGTCGTATTTAAATAGTTAACGGAGTCTCCTCCTCACGCAGCTGTGAAATGCTCCTCATAAACTAAGCACATCTAGAATGTGGAATGCACGACTGGGTTAAATGAGTTCAGTGGAAAGGCTCTGGGGATGCCAGGGACGGCTGTGGGAGAAGTGAATGCAATGGCTCCAATCAGCTGAGATGTACTGAGAGCAGTACTGGGGAGTTGTCCTGAGAGACGACCAAATTAAATTGTGACCCCACTCATAGCAGCTGTGAAACAAACAGCAAGAAGGATCTTGTCTACTGAAAAACCCTCCACGTGGCATCAATTACTCTATAGTGTCATGTGACTACTAATGATCCCTTTAATAAACACACAGAACAATCTAGAAATGTTTACATTACAAAGAACAAGAACAGATGAAAACAAAGGGCTTAAATATATAGGCCTAGATGATTAACAAGACAAGGAACATGTGAGAAGTAATCAGAAACATTTCGGGCTTTCGCACCAGAGGAACATTTTCATATTCCTAGAACTATAGGCGGAAGTATTCGTGTGTTCGAACCGCAGGAACTATATGGATGATTTTAGTTCTAGTTACTAATTTAGCTCCTACTTCAGAGTAGGGTCTAAACCATCTAAACCAGCACTATAGGAGGATCTACCAGTAATATTAATACGCTGATGTCCGAACGCCACCATTTTTTAACACACAGATTATAGCCTATATACTTATTCTAGAAACTAACTCAAATATATTAACACAAATATACTTTATGTATTTAATCTCACTGACTTTGCGGCTGACAATCAATGATGAATTCCACCATACCGATAAGCAAAAATTACTTAACATCACATTTGTGTTTCTTTCTTTTTTTTTAAATTGCTGAGGTAAGAGCATAGATATCCATAATAAAGGCTAGATATCTCGTCTGCGATGCTGGCCAATGGAGGTCGACGTTCACAACAGGCAGCCATCTTGTCACAGGCAGCTTGTAACAATGTGTTTTAATGGTTCATGTACTTTTTAAATAACCATAACTTGCTCAATTTTCTACCGAATTTCAAATGTTTTTTTTTAATAAACGTCAGAGATGTAGTTATGACACTGCATACTTATGAATAATAAGTGTAGAAATAAATAATCATCCAGAATTATAGCCACGCTAATATAACGTTATAATAAACGTTTGTAACAAACCAAACCATTTTTAAATTCGTCAAGATTTCACCGAGATAAGAGTGTTTGTGTTCGTGCTGATCTCTCATCAACATCAGGAACCACAGAAAGCTTGCCTGTGACAAGATGGCCGCCGGTAATGGTGATAGAGACTCCGCCGTAATACATCTAGCCTTTATTATAGATATCTATGGGTAAGAGTGTTAAACTTTCTTATTCGTCTTATTCTTCCGGAATGGCAGCTCAACTAAAACGTTTGTTTGAGCTGCGCCCTCTACAGACGTGAATTTGCAATTTCTTGGCTTACCCCTGAGGCTTATTTTATTTTGGTATGAACTGAAGGGGCCTTTAGATTTTCCAAAAATATAACTTTTGTGTCCGAACCCAGCCCAGGTGAGAAGTAGTAACACAAAAGTAACGTAAAACATAACTATCCATAAAAAGTAACACAATTTGTTAATGCAATATATTGTAATGCATGACTTTAGAACCCCAACACTGAAACTAAATCATAAATAATTCATAACATTGTATTACAACAGTTTACTAATTACAATGTTATTTTCTTAGATTTGTTTGTGTTTTAGCACCATTAGTGTGAAAACAGAGACCAATTTTGGGGAAGTGGTGAGTTTAGGAAATGATTAGGAGAGAGAAAGGGTGACAGGACGCCACATCTTTGACCAAACCGTTCTACAAAAAAAACCTAAATAATGGCTGTTAAGGCGGTCATATTTTCTTAATGCAATAATATACAAAAGATAAGGGCAATTTAAAACCGAACGGACCCTCGTGAGCATGATAGGAACCAGATATTGAAAGACATCAACACTGATTATGCAGTGTGATCTCCAGTGACCAGCCAGACACAGGGAAGCATGCAGAATATTAAGTCCCTTCCCCCACTCCAGAGGAAAAGGTGGTGTACAACCGCATGTAGCATTTTACATGAATAACACCTTTAGCGCAGCTCAAAGACAGAAAAACACATGCTTTCGGCACCTGATAAATCTACACAATCTCAAAGCAAACTGGCCTTGATGCAAGGAAATAAAAGTACAAAAGTACAGTGTGCTCACTCAGCCTAAAGTGAAGTTTTAGAGTCTATAATGTAAGAAAAAGCGAACCGCACCTTCGAACAATATTAAATCAAAACATTCAAGAATAATGTGATTCATTTTCGGGTTTATTAAAATCAATTTCTGCAAGACACTGTGTGCCTTTGGCAGAACTAAGCAAGGATGATGTCACCTCCAGTGCTTTCACTTCATTGGTCTATAGCTCAGTTACTCAGATCAGGTTAACAGAGCACAAGGCCCAATGGGACCGCAGTGAGTCGATACTTTCTTCAAAAGCTCACTAGGCTGCAATAGTCTTCTTTCAGTCAGTTTAATTAATAAAATAAACAATTTGCTGAATATGAAATCTCCCAAAAGTATGCATTTATGCTGCAAAGCATTCTACAATATGATGAATGGTTGCTCACATGCTCAACCAGTCATGTGAGCCATGTTGCTGTGCTCAAATATCAAACAGACATTCAGTTGCCAAGTGCCAATCTCTTTATACTTGAATTGATTCATATGTGCATTGCAAACAACTACTGCAGTTGGTTTAATATTAAAGTCACTGGGTAACAGGGTTGAATATGCATGGACTGCATTGCATTTAAATATTTATAAGATTAACCTGCTTGCAACTGTTCACATTTGGAAATCAAATGACACTTGAATGCTGCAGAGTTTGTTATCATAATATTGTGTTGTTGTTAAGGCATTCTTGTGTGTAGATGAGTAATTCAGTGTTGTTCTTACAATATTGCTAAAATGTCACTCAGACTGGAAAGGTGGGACCTTTCTGTGTTTCACTGTACACTCATCTAAAGGATAATTAGGAACACCATACTAATACTGTGTTTAACGCCCTTTCGCCTTCAGAACTGCCTTAATTGTACGTGGCATTGATTCAACAAGGTGCTGAAAGCATTCTTTAGAAATGTTGGCCCATATTGATAGGATAGCATCTTGCAGTTGATGGAGATTTGTGGGATGCACATCCAGGGCACGAAGCTCCCGTTCCACCACGTCCCAAAGATGCTCTATTGGGTTGAGATCTGGTGATTGTGGGGGCCATTTTAGTACAGTGAACTCATTGTCAGGTTCAAGAAACTAGTTTGAAATGATTTGAGTTTTGTGACATGGAAGTAGCCATCAGAAGATTGGTACATAGTGGCCATAAAGGGATGGACATGGTCAGAAACAATGCTTAGGTAGGCTGTGGCATTTAAATGATGCCCAATTGGCAATAAGGGGCCTAAAGTGTGCCAAGAAAACATCCCACCACACCATTACACCAGCACCACCACCACCAGCCTGCACAGTGGTAACAAGGCCTGATGGATCCATGTTCTCATTCTGTTTACACCAAATTCTGACTCTACCATCTGAATGTCTCAACAGAAATTGAGACTCATCAGACCAGGGAACATTTTTCCAGTCTTCAACTGTCCAATTTTGGTGAGCTCTTGCAAATTGTAGCCTCTTTTTCCTAATTGTAGTAGAGATGATTGGTACCCGGTGGGGTCTTCTACTGTTGTAGCCCATCCGCCTCAAGGTTGTGCGTGTTGTGGCTTCACAAATGCTTTGCTGCATACCTCGGTTGTAACAAGTGGTTATTTCAGTAAAAGTTGCTCATCTATCAGCTTGAATCATTCGGCCCATTCTCCTCTGACCTCTAGCATCAACAAGGCATTTTCGCCCACAGGACTGCCGCCTTCTGGATGTTTTTCCCTTTTCACACCATTCCTTGTAAACCCTAGAAATGGTTGTGCGTGAAAATCCCAGTAACTGAGCAGATTGTGAAATACTCAGACCGTCCTGTCTGTCACCAACAACCATGTCATGCTCAAAAATTGCTTAAATCACATTTCTTTCCCATTCTGACATTCAGTTTGGAGTTCAGGAGATTGTCTTGACCAGGACCACACCCCTAAATGCATTGAAGCAACTGCCATGTGATTGGTTGATTAGATAATTGCATTGAGAAATTGAACAGGTGTTCCTAGTAATCCTTTAGGTGTGTGTATAATAATGTACACAATCTTGGGTAGTTGATAAATTACGGAAATTACTGCCTGTCAAGTGCCACTTAATTTGTTGAATTTCTCACTTGTTGAAGTATTATTAGGGGAGAGATTTAGTCAAGGAATGGTCAATTGTTTACCACCTACAATGATTGCAGCGCTTTGTTAGGTCTATGAAAAATTACGATCAAATTGCCCTCTTGAATGAAAATTAATCAACTGATTAAGGCCTTTTGAATATGAGTTTATAATGAGTCATCCCAAAAGAATGCTGTGTATTACCAGCGTAGATTCTCACACTATACTGCTGACAAAGGTGTAGTTTAAAACCTAATTAATATGCCATCATTTAAGATATGTGCATTCAAAATGATTTAATTCTACTTTCAGTGATGCAGCTGTCAGTCCTCCACCTGCATTAGTAACACAAGTTCACAAGTTTTCAACTCTTTCACATGGTTATTGACACTGCCACAGATGATTTGCTTATCTGTAAGCTTTTGGTATCAGTTCTCCAGGCTGACTTCTGCTTGCTGAGTCAGTGTGATAACTCCAAAGGGCGGTTACAATGCTCTGTGTGTATCTCCCTGGAAGGCCGAGAAGTGTGAACATCATCCTGGAGCGATCTCTCCTTCATCGCTGCTGTGCCACTGTATGTGGCCAATGTACTTAACACATCACTGTTAGAATATTGATGCACCAGCTTGCATCACTAAGATCTCCTATCTTAAAAAGTGTCTTTGTATGAATGTTTCAGTTCTCTCATGACGAGGTTTTTCTCTCTTTTTTAATTAAAATAGAGTAGGCTATACTTTTTACACTTAAAATGCCTTTACCATTAAGTCTCCCCTTTTTATCATTATTTTATTTTCATTTGCCTATTATTATTATTAAGCATCAGAATTAAGATGACTTTAGGTGTTATGGCTATTTAATCTACATTTATCAGTCATGACTCATAAATGTTGGCATTTTAATGTGTGGTGATTATGGCTTTATGGGACACACATTATTTGAATACAGCATTCCAAGACAAATGCATAGGCTATTAAGAAGAAGAAGAAGAACAACAACAACAACAGTAATGACACTAACCTTAGGTTTGTCAAATGCTGGTTTTCCATTCTTCTCAGCCATTGTCTTGATTCGAAGAGTAAGTTTGTCGTGATATAACTTGAACACGCACACACCGGAACCTGTCAGCTCAAGCAGCGAAGTTCAGCTTCCTCGTGCGCGTTACTATTATACGCGCGCGGACAAAGAACACGCCTTATTATGCACAGATAATGTAAGCAACGAACCCGCCTCTACATCAGCGTACATTACAATAAGCCAACTAAACATGCTCAACTGGTTACAACAATAACCGAGCAAACTAAACTGAAAGCAGCGCACCTGAAGCCTTGCGAAGAGATTAAAACGGAATCCTATTAGAAGCTTTTAAGAAACACAGAATGGCACATCTACACTACAGCCACAGACGCGACGCGACACACTAGAATGCTGGAGCAAGCGTCGGAAGCGTTAGCGTTGCGTTGAGCTTTGAGGTGGTTTTAGTAAAGGTTTACTAAACTAACGGTTTGCTTAATGATATTTTATGTCAGTAGGCATCTTTACACCGAGTTACGTTATGTGACAAAAGAAAGAGTCTGGTCAGGTTCACAACTTTAGCCATGGTTGCGTAAAGACTGACCGATGAAGTTATTGCCCAAGCTTGTTTGTTTAACCCAGCATACATTCTTAATGAAAATGTAAATTTAAGCCTTCTAATGAATATCAATCAATAATCCATGAGAAAATGATATAGCCTATAACAGACGTACAGTTGTGTGTTTCAAGATCGGACGTTGATCTTTCCGATTAATCTGTTCAAATCGGACTGAATCGAGCGGTCACCGAGCAGAAACATCTCTTTCGGGCATGTCCGATTAGTATTTCCTAAAAAAATATATGAGCCGAAGTATTTGGAGTCAACCTTGAGAGTTGGACTGAAAAGTAAAATCAAGAATAGAGTAAGTGTTACAAATAAAGGTTATCCCAGGAATTTGTTTACGACTCGATTGTATGGCAGTTTTGTGAAAAATAAACTGAAATGCAAAAAACTAAACTTGGTTGCCCAGTCTAAGTTGTCCAGATTTATCGTAAAATAAAAAATATATTTTTAACGTATCAGGCCTACTTAAAGGGTAACTAAGCCCTAAAACAACTTTTTTAGATAATGATCTGTAATGGGTCTTTATTAAAAGGAACTATTAAAAAATATAACCACGAAAATTCACGGTCGACTCAAAAGTTAAACAAGGGCGCCCTCGTGTGGAGGCTACCAGCGCTGAATCACTCAAGTCAGTGTACAGTATACTTCAAACAGACAACCGATTTGATATATTTTCGATTCATAACCAGGATTAAATAATAATTATTTTCTTTTATTTTCATTTGTTGTTAAACATTTTTTATTTAGCCTACCAACTGGGGCTGAAAATACACTACTGTTGGACATGTAGGCCATGCAGGCTTATGCAGTTGGCCACTAGATGTCAGCAAAACGTCATAGGTGAGGAGGTGCATTTCTTTCTTTCTTTTTTTTATTTTTTTCTTTTTTTTTTCTTTGTTAAAGGGAGTTCAATGATGGTTACAAACGTTCTTCAAAATCTTCCTTTGTGTACAGCAGAACAAAGAAATTCACAGGTTTGGATAAACTTAAGGGTGTGTAAATTATGACAGAATTTCTTTGGGTCAACTATAGTGCAATGCCCAAATATAACCTAAAATTAGATATTAATGATATGTTGCTAAGAAGGTTAGGGCCTAAAACTAACACATCTTGTATATATCATATGGCAATTTCATCTGTCATCAAACTGAGCATCTTTTCTTCATGACATTGCATATTTGAATGCATGCACTGCTGAGAATTTCTTCATAAACCATGTGGAAAAAATGTAAGATAAATAAGAGAAATTGCCATGTTATGCAACATAGCAGTTACTAGATGCCTAAAGTATTACATTTTAACACAGAGTATTTCCTAAACAACAACCCTTGTTTAACTTGGCCTATCTAACATTACATGAAACCACATGGGCCTGGTTTCCCAACCAGCAAAAACATCCCATTAAATGTGTCATACATCAGTCTGCTGGAACAGTGCTTGAAAATGTGGTAGCACCACGCTTTATAAATCCCTCAGTGTGCTGTGCTCTATGCTATTAAGACATGCTAGAGATGTAAAGCTTTTGAGCAGATGTAAAAACGTTCTTTTTTTCCTTTTTCCATTTATTTACGTCTGTTCTCTTTCATTTGTGGCTCATACATGCCCCCTTGTCTGACGGAAAAAGCGCCACTTTTTGATGTTCATGACTGACGTCTTCTGAATTCACCCTATGCTATCACTAAACTGTCATCGAATATGAGTCATATCATATGTTACTAAATGTGGTTTGAACGTGTTTGATCAAGCATTTACTATACAGTATATGCTTATGCTCTTTCATATCAGTACCTTTGTGTTCATTTAGAAAGTGATAGAAGCTTTCTGTGGGTTGGAGCTTTTGGAGATCTTCTCTGCAAGCTAAAGAGCAGAATATCCGTTAAAAATATTGACTCTGCCGGCCACATGTTACGAAGTAGCTGCTGCAGTGAATCTATCCCTTGTCCTGTATTTATTTGTTCTCGTTTATTTTAAGGCATGAACTCCTGTAGCCTAATGGAACAGGGTTGTTGCTATTTTAGTCTTATTATATTAAGACCAAGAGGATATTTTTTTAAATATTTAATTTCAGTTTCCAGTAACCTTGTCAACTGAGTGATTCTGATCTACTATTGTTTCAGAACATTATATTCATAAATTTGATAAAATGACAAATAATGACAAGTACATTTTTATGAGCTGCAATGGTAACATTATAGTCATTAGCCCACTTTTTCATATTTTCCAAACTGATTTTGGGGGGAAAATGTGTGTAATTTAATTGGATTTGGTTAATCGTAAAATTATATCTAAATGAAAAATGTAGTATTTTTCAACTGAAATTCAAGGAATATGTGATGTGTAGAATTTGAATTATGGCATCTTTAAAGGTTCCAAAAGGAGTTTTTCCTTTTTGTTTCTCAAGGCAAAACCATTTTTGTTTCTCCAAATAACCTTTCCCTGAGCGTTTCTTAAAATAAACATTTTAAGAACATTTCAATAATCTAAATAACTCTTTTAAACTATACAAAGCTTTTTGAGCAATAGAAAGGTTTCATGGATGTTAACTAAATGGCAAAAAAAGAACCTTTATGTAAGAATGTCAAATTCAAACTCCTTTTTTTCCCCCATATAATGAAAGTCAATGGGGTCCAAAACAACATTGAATAGGCTATAGTGTTGTGTAGGGGCAATAAAGAGATATTTTTAAAATATCCTGTTTTGTGTTCTACAGACAGCGGCATCTCATACAGTAAATTTCAATGTGACTCGAAGCGTACAGTGATAGATTTCACAGATTCAGTTGAAATATTTTAATATTCCCTTCCAGGCGGTTACTGGGCTCTTCCCATAAAGCTGTTACTGTATGTGTGTGTGTTGTCTGACATCTTTCCTGTGACTGTCAGATTTGCTTCCTCTTAAACGTCATTACCTGACCCGTTCAGAGCAGTGCTCTTATCAGAAACCAAAGGCTTTCCTGTTACGACTCTCGCAGTTCACACATTTAGTTAGAATGCTTGGAACGTAGGTATCATTTCCTCTCGTCAAAAACAGTTAGTCCGATTCAAGTTCTTCCTTGTAGAGGGTAATTTGTCTACACCGCTTCACATCTGGTCTGCAGCTGCGATTATTGTGTAAAAGGTCTGTTCAAATGAAAGGGACAAGAAAGGAACCTGCACGCTTTAATGTTTTACTTTGCATGCGGCGATTTTGATGGTGAACAAATCAACAATGACGTCAACCAAGAGGATATAAAAATGATATAAGTGGATGATCTGAGACATTAATCATTTTTTTTGCACGGCTCTCACCCCCCTTTGTTTTAACGCAACTGGCGCCATCTCATTTGACTGCAATATTGTCGCAGCGTTCGTCTGGGGGCTATTATTTCTATTAAATATTTCTATAAATAGCTATTGTTAAGTAGGCCTATTGATTTTAGCCGGAGCGTTAAGATAATATGGGTGTAATTATAAATTACCTAAATAATAATACAAATATTTGCGACCCCTCTCCAATGACGGCTGTACATTCCAAACATTGGACGATCTCGGAACTTAGGGGACGTGCTCAGAACTTGGCTAACGTTCTAAGTTTTTTTTTCAAAGTTATGAGCAAACCTTCTTCCATCAATGTTTATAAAACGTTCGATCAGTGTTAATGGTCTTTATAGGCTAATATTGGAACGTCGTCTAACGTTTTTAAATGTAGCATTCGGAGCGTTCAGAGAACATTAAAAACTCCCACAATGTTTGCAAAATCCCTCAATTGTTCCCTCGACATTCAAATTTTGTTGAACTGAGTTTTGAAAAATGTTCTTTGAACATATATTTTGCTGGGTTATTCATACTATTCAGAAAAGTATTTTGTTTGCAAACATTTTTGGTCTCACTCTCAGGTTAGAGATCCAAGATTCATATGAACTGAATGATATGTAATCACTGTCTTAGAAGGGATATAAAGACGTTTCCAGTTTCCAAATTCTTAACTATGACTCCAGCTGATTAACTGTGTTACAGTTGAGGCCAAATTCTTCAAACCTCAAAGGAAAATCATAGGCTTTTTAACATTAAGTCAATAAGGAATTGTCTGGCGAATTCTAAGAAATGTTAGAATTATATTCAGTTTGTCTGGTCAAGCATGTTGATTCATCAAGTAATTCTTCTTTATTACAGAGTGTGTGGTAACATCTGGAAATTGGAAAGGTCCTAAGACATAGCCCAGATGATCACATGTGCACCGCACAAGAATTGGGATGAATGGCATAAACACAAAGATGACCTATCCCAATACCAAAAGCATAATGAGGTTTACAGACCATGGTGAATGTTGAATGTACTTTCTTAATTTGCTTTTGCTCTGTCATAGAATTCAGGTTTTTACACTGCTGTACTAAAGCAGGTGTTAAATGAAATCACTCTTGCCCACAGCCATGGAGCCTGCCTTTCCAGTATTCCTGTTAACTTCAGTCCGTTCCCCCGCCACTCAGCAAGAAAACAATTCAATGCAAGTATTTCACTTTAAGCACAACCTTTTCCATGAGACATTATTGGACTAGTCACAACTGACTGAATTTTAAACATGAAAGAGTGTGTTTTTGTCCCACATCTGCTTTTCTTGCCCAGTTAATCTTTAAACATTTAAACAATATTTTTGTAGATCATCCTTCCAGAACAAATTTAGACATTTTTGACAACATGTTTCCAGTGGAGTTTGGTGAATGTTTATTGTAATAACATTTATATGATAATATTTAATTTGTGTGTCCTCCCCACTCTTAAACCTAATCACAAAGCTTTGCACTGCATGATAGAGTTGCACAATATTTTTCTTTCGGAATAATTGTGTTTTGCATAAAGAATGCCACGTACCAAAACGACCCCTTACGGTGATATTGTACATTCCAAACATTTGTGACTTTTGGAAAGGATGTTAAAATAAATATAAGAGTGCGGCTGGACAGAATTTTTAGACAGAACTAATATCCACTCCACTTTTGCTGTATCTGGCAGGCCACATGTGTTCCAGATGAATTATCAAGAGCTGTGGTATTAGTAAAAGTGAATTTCCCGTCTAGGTCTATTTTAAGCCTTCGTTCCCAGTAGGTCATCCTGCATTTCAATAGGATTGTTTTGTCTGAGCACTCGACGTGAAAAATGTATAATGTATTTTTGAGAACGTTTACATTTATTCATTTAGCTGACACTTTTATCCAAAGAGACTTCACAGTGGATTTGAACCCAGGTCTCTCACACCAAAGGCATGTGTCTTATCCACTGCGCCATCACCATCCCTGGAAATTTGTCTGAGAAGTTAAAAAATCCTTTTCAGTGACACCCACATTTTAAACTGGCGCAAAATATTTATTTTAAATGCTTTTAAAATTTGAAACCACAAATAGTTATGGTCCTCAAATTTGATAACCATGCAGTTTTCCAAAATTTCTGTTCACTTGGTCTTTTGCATCACTTTCCAGACAGATTGTCAGTGTGTTGGGGATTTTTTTAATGACTTTTTCTGCAAGTTACATATTTACGCCAGTCGGTGGGGAAAAAAAGTGAAGAGCTTACACACTGCAGCTAAATTCAGTTGTCAATTCACCTTTTAGTGCTTAAAGGGTAACTAAACCACTGGTAAGAGCCTGACTCCACCCACTGGCAATATTTGAAAAATGCTGAAAAAGTGGGCAGACCCCAGAAGGGATGAAATAGATGCTAAAACACTCTCTTTTTCAATACTCGCAATTCCAACTCCTGAGTCGCTACAGTGATTTTGACGAAACAAACTGGTTTTTGGCTGTAGCTCGTACCAAGTGCGTGGTGAGCTGAAACGTGCGCACGTGACGAAGAACCGCTAACAACTGCAGTAGCCACCGTTCAACCTGAAGAGGGCAGCACTAAGAGGGTTTTACACCATATAGTGTAAATAAAATACTTTATACACAAATGTCAAAAAGTTACTCGAATCAATGACTGTATTAATAAAGATCCATTCTTACCGATCAATAACTAAAAAAGTTGGTTTAGGGTTTAGTTACTCTTTTTAATCATGTTCTGGAGCATATATATAGACCATTTCACGAGATGTAAACAACACTATTCCAGAAGCACTTCCTGTTTCAGTTTTTTAACACTACATAAAAGCTGGGATAAAATACAACCAACAGAACATTTAAAACTGAATCAAAAAGTTAAACAAACATCTTTAAGATGTTTTCTTTACATGTGAAATAAAGAAAACAGCTACAAACTGAAATAGGAAGTGCTTCTGTACCAGTGTTGTTTACATCTTGTGAAATGGTCTATAGGCTATACACACAGTTCAGTAATTCAGTTTGCCTTGACTCATTTGTGTTGCCAGATATTGCAGTGAACAAGAACAAAAACTGAAATAAATCCAACTGCGTTATATTTAAACAAGACCAAAACATTGCAACCTTCCCCTCTCCAATTTAATAACTCCATAAACTTGATCGCATTATGAGATAAGCCCAAACAACAAACCCACAAAAATGTTTATGATAAGAAGCCATTGCAATACTGCAAGAGAGCCTTCCCAGCTAAAACAAAACGGGCTAAAATTGCAGAACAAATGTGTTTGGTCACTCCTTTTGTCAAAAAAATACCTCATACCAAACAAGTGAGACAATGATTGGTGTCAATTGGCGCATTTCCGGGAGAGAGTCGTGTTATGAACACACACAGATCCATAATTTAGGGGATTCACTCCCTTATTTAAATGCGGTTGTCACTCTTCATAGTGAAACTTTGCAGTGCGTACATGGTCTATGAGTGAGTCATTGAATCGTTTACTCAGCAACCTATTCATTCAGAACCACTGATTCATTCAGGAGCGCAATGACTGTGTGATTATTCTATTTGATTGAATTCTGCTTTGAATCATTTCCGTTGGCGAGCAATTTTGTCTAAAATGTATGCGCAATATAAACCTTTTAACTGTTCTGCAATGCCATGCTCCCAATTTATTATCAAACGTTTCTTTTATTCAAATACATTTGCTGTAATTTAATAATAAAAAAAATGGTTAGTCTCTAAAAGTAAACAGAAAACTTGAATGTGGTCAAGAGAAAGCCTAATGTGCTGTCTCCTCCTCAAAATGTCCATGCTTCACCTCTGAGCAGAGCAGACGAGCAGAGGGAGAAAATAATTCCTGGTTGTGGAAATGGGCAACGGAGATGTGGAATTTGAAACATTTCTGATCCAGGTCCAGCCACTGTTTACCCTGCACTCAGGCTATGACATCAGAGCGAGGACTTTATAAAAGTGGATGTCCACAGAGCCAGGCAGTGAGCAAACAGTAACACAAGCAGAAAATCTTATTGTGGTGAGCATGATGGACAAGGTACAGAGAGACAGAATAATCCTGATGGCATGGGCACTGCTGTTTTACCTGGATTCACAGGTGAGAATCACACGTTCCCAAACCTGTTTGCATGCATGCATGTGTTTTTCCAGTGGAAATTTCAAGTTTCAACTCCATGTGGAACAGCTTGATATTATATCCTGTTATACTTTTGTGAATTGGCATTGTTCGAGTTTTTGTTGGAAGATTTGTCTTTAAGAACTCATTCGTTATTGAACAGGGGGTTTCCAATATAAACTGAATGCAATATAGCAATAATTCCTAATTAAAGAGTGAATGTTCTGTACAAATGATATATTTTGTATTGAAGTTTCTTCTTTGGCTCTTGCACTAGATCATAATTGAAAGCATGTTTTTATGCATTCAGAGCCTGGAAATACTTACCGTAAGTGATTCACAAGAGGGGCGATATTTTTTTCCTTTTGTTTCTCCCTATGCATATTATCAATTTATGGTTTTGAAAATCAACCTGTGCTATTGTTAGAGTCATTCATGACAAATATAGTCAAATATATATAATGAGAAACTTGAAAGAAATACATTATATTAAAGTAATGTTTGATTATTGAAACTGCAAGTATTGACATAATATTATTGTACAGATAATAACAGATAACCTAGACTCTGATTCAATTCAATTCACATGTATTCGCTTCTCACAATACACATCATTTCAAAGCAGCTTTACAGAAAATGCACAATTACAATTTAGATTGATCTGTTATCAGAGGTAACTGTCTAAGTTGTGTTTTCACAAATCTACATATACAAATCACACAGTTAGCTAAAAATGCAATAAACAATGACTCTGATGCTTTGTTGCATGCGTCACATAAAGCTTGTGCCTATTCTGCCTTAGGTGTGCTGTCAGCAATGTGGTGGACCTTGTCAGTGCCAAGGCTCTGTGCCAGTCTGCCCAGAAGGAGTTCCTCTGATCCTCGATGGGTGCCAGTGCTGCCAGATGTGTGCCCGGCAGCTGGGTGAAGTTTGCAGTGAGGTGTTCCCGTGTGACAGTCAGCAAGGGCTACAGTGTGACTACAGTGCCAGCTTCCCTGGTGACCCAGGAGAGTGTGTCAGTGAGTGCCAACTACTTCAACAACCAAATGCACTGTCCACCCATATTAGTCGAAACTTAATTAATATAATTTACAACTTTTAATCATCATTTGATTTATCATTTGTAATTTTGGTTTGAGTATTTGATTCATCCTGAGATGAGTCATCGCTATCTCACGACCAACGTACGAATTCGTACGATTTGTCCAAACCCATGTGATGGGTGGGTTTAGGGGCAGGTCAGGGGTAGGTCATTTGTACGAATTCTTACGAATTTGGTAACCCGTAAAATATACGAATTAGAAAAAATCGTACGAATTTGTTCGAATGAGGTCGTATGAAATAGTACGAATTAGCACATTTGATTTATCATTTGATTATTACATTATATTTTGAATTATGATAGGATTAAACAGAATTTATAATAAGTAAGGCCATAGGAATCCGAGTAGCCTATATAGCTATATAGCCTTTATGAGAACACCAAAACATTTAGAGTAGGGCAGTCAAACGATTAATCGCGATTAATCGTATCCAAAATAAAAGTTTGACATAATATATGTGGGTGCACTGTGTATATATATATATATATATATATATACACACATACACATACATGCTTGTATACTGTATTTTCATGTATATACTGTATATATGATATGTAAATATAAATATTTTATATATAAATAATATTTTTTTCTTAAATATACATGCATGTGTGTGTATTTATATCCAGTATATACACAATAATTATGCACAGTGCACCCACATATAATATGTAAACAAAAACTTTTATTTTGGATGCGATTAATCACGATTAATCGTTTGACAGCCCTAATTTAGACCTTCATAATCCCAGTACCAGTGAAAGTGGGCCAAACCTATCCAGTTTTGGGCATTGCATCTGTCATTAGTGTAATATTTTGTTTTTAGGTCAGAAGGAACTGGGCTGTGAGCATAATGGAGTCTCTTACCAGGAAGGCCAGGTATTTCAGCCCTCTTGCGCTCTTCAGTGTCGTTGTTCGGGTGGAGGGGTGACCTGTGTGCCCCGGTGCAGTGAGGATGTTCTCCTGCCCAGCCCAGACTGCCCTCATCCTCAAAGGATTCAGCAACCAGGAAAATGCTGTAAAGAGTGGGTGTGTGAAAATATGGACAACACAGTGCTTCAGGACGCTCACATAGGTAATTTATTCACTTTTTTTGTATGTGCCCAGCAAACAAATCAAAGGCTGTTGTTGTTCATGTAATCATATTTCATGAGCTGGAATGAAAACTGTAAAACTGAAATACTTTTTTTTTTACACGTGTCTTATTCAAAACCCTATCTAAGAACACTCTCAATTACATTCCAGACTGAGGTTTTCATTGTGGGATTTTGACCATTTAATTGAAAATGTCTTGCCAAGATGGAATCCAAAAGCACAAATACTGGATTCTTCCTGAAGCCAACTTTCCATGATTCATAACAGGACTCATGTCTCTGTAACGCAACAATTAAACTACAGACAGCCAGACAGAGTGTATAACACTGGTCAGGAGGGTGTTCAAAAGCAATGTCACCCAAGTTACATTGGCTGGAATGGTACATTTTGTTTTAAGTGTTTGGAGAGAAGACGTTAACAGATCCATATGTATAAAACACTGCCAAGAAATGGTTTATTATCATCTCTCAGGGATGGACGTATTCCTTCTTTGAGATTCTCAGATTATAACAATGATTGTCAGATGGAAATGGTTGAATACCATACTGCTCTAAGGTTTTATGAGATAAGAAGAACATTATATAAAAATTAATACTTTCTAAATGCATATTCCATGTATTATCGTGAACTATTCATTTGTGTGTGTTATTTAAAAAAAAAAAAAAAACATTGTCGTCATAACCCTTCATTAAAATTCCTCTGAAATGACTTTTTTCCATTGACGTCACTTTAGGCTGCATGGGTTATTAGATAATCTTCACAAATTGCTGCTTTTTGTAGCAAAGTTGTATTTAGTCTGGTTTGGTGCATGATCAAAAACATAGCATGTGATTGCAGTATGAGCTAATCAGCTAATAGACTCATAACACTTTACAATTTGCGTGCACTAATATGCATTAATTCATGTTTAACTAATGCACAGTTAATCATGAGTTAATGTATGAAGAACTAAACCATTAATTGATTATTACTGCATCAGCAAATAATAAAGAGTCTATGATATGTTAACAATAACAAACTAGCATTGAATTGAGCTGGATGACACTATCGTCTTTTTCTGCACTATTGTCTTCTGTATCAAATTCATTTAATAATTGATTAAATTTGCAGCATCAACACTGTTATTGAACTAAATTGAATCAACATTGAACTAACTTGAGCTGAATAACAACACAACTGTTTTCTGTAGAGCTACATATAGCCTACTGCAACTGAATTGAATTGATAAAACGGTTAGTTCCAATCCTTGATTCTGATTGGTCAATTGCTGTGCTTTATTCATGATAAAACAGGGCTATGGCCGCTTCACCCAACGGTTCTATTTTATCGCTGCGCAACTCGTTGTTTTTATTTGAGCTTTCATGTATATTACACATTGGAACATTGTTGCTACGGAAAGAAGGCTTTTAGTGATTTTACTTCATGAAAGTTGCACTAATACATTTTTTTTTTACTTTCATATTTTTATTGTGGGGTAACCGTTTTATAAAATCAATAATGTACTCAAGGCAAGTGCTATATAGTAGCACAGCCTCTCGTACCTTATTGCTTACTTGTTTCATGATTGACAAACTTTAAGGTTATTGAACTGAAATGAATCAACACTAAACTGATTTGAGGTTAAAGGGTTAGTTCAGTCAAAAAATGCAGTACTCTCTTGTGCCAAACCCGTAAGACCTTTGTTCATCTTTTGAGCACAAATGAAGATATTTTTTGATTAAATCTGAGAGCTTTCTCTGAGCTTTCTCTCTGAGAGCCATGTTTGTGAAATTGATTCGGTCCAAAACCATATAGTCAGTAGTTCATTGGGTCTGAAATAATCAATATGTGGCAAATAATCAATTATGTTGCCTGTTTCATTTTTAAAGAAGTGTAAGTGCTGAAGTTTAATTAAATTGTTTTTGGGATGGCAGCTTCCAGAATTGACCAGACATTGCCTGCAGACCCTGGATACCAAACCAGACGCGGCTCAAACTGCATAGACCAGAGCTCAGAGTGGAGTGCTTGTTCGCATACCTGCGGGTCTGGAATATCCACACGGGTGTCCAATCAAAACCCAGCCTGTCGCCTGGAGATGCAGATGCGCTTGTGTATGATCCAGCCCTGTCAGCCTGTTCTCCACAGAACAACACAGGTGAGTCTCCATTAGGATCTCCCACTCCCATGGGATTCTGACCATTCAAAACAATCTCTAATCGACCCCCGAATATGTGTTTCAGTGGTCGAGGAAGAAATGTCAACCCAGTTACAGGTCAGCAACCCCAGTTCGGCTTTTCCACCAGGGCTGCTATAGTACACAGTTCTATAGGCCCCGTTATTGTGGCTCATGTACAGACAGCCGTTGTTGCACTCCTTACCATACTGGCACGGCACTGGTCACTTTCCGCTGCCCTGGGGGAAGACTGCTCAATCATGCTGTCATGATCATCAACTCCTGCATCTGCCATTACAACTGCCCCTATACATCTGGAGGGGCATATAGAGGGACACCACTCCTGGGTTAGACACTCACTTTGGGTTAGGCTTACTTTGGATCTAGTAGCTTCATTTTAGATGCTGTGGGTGTTAGTTAAAAAATGTTACAGTGACCAAACTCAAGGTTTGATTTTTCAGATTAATGACTGAAAAAGCCCTCTTTGACTTTTGACAGGACAATGTTTTTTTTTTTTTTTCAGGACAATGTCTTAAGACTGTATAGGTTTCCACAGCTAGCAATAATATGTTCTAAGAACATTTTGCTAATGGTCCCTATAAGTTTCTGAATAAATAGTTTCAGAAAAAAAAGTTCCATAACCGATGTATAAATATTGATTTTATGCCACCGTTTTGAGAACATTGTTAAAGACTAGATAACAGATCAATTAGATAGGTAACCGGTAATACATGATGAAGGATTAAAAGGACTTACAACACAGACATTATCTGGCGTTTTGCCTGCACACACACACACACACACACACACACACACAAGAGAGCAGCGGCCACTTTATTAATGATTGCACACCTTTGTATGTTACTCACATCATGATCACAGTCAATAAGAGAACATATACAATTACATAGATAGATCACCACTTGTTCTTAAATTGACAGAATATAACAATGCATCACATACATACATCTCATTTTAATTAATTCACATTCCAAATAAAAAACACATACATTTTCCATTTTATAGCTTTAGACACAGATTTTGTTAAAAAGTCTGCCACCATTTCAAATGTAGGACAATAATAAAGCATTATAATAATTAATAATAATTTTTTTGCCATCATTACCTTATGTCAACATCTTTGTCGACAGACCGGATTCTTTGAAAGTGCAATAGCACCCTGATTATCCCCAAAAATAGTCACTGGTGCATATTCAAGTACATTATCCGTTCCATTGATTAGATTGGTCAGACCAAACATTATATTAACATTACTGGAAGAATGTTTGATCTTATACCTTTCAAACCTTACCAGAATGTCGGACAAAGTCCTCTGTCAGCTGGCTCTTAGTGAAATTAAAACGTCTACAAGTTTAAGATCTGCCAGAAGTTATTATTATTTTTTAATCTATTGGGTTCACACAATGGCGTTTGTTTTTAGTTTGAGTAGGAGGATACATTAGTTAAAGTAGTAGCCAACACTTAAATGAATAAATCCATCAATATCTTTGTCAGTTTTGTTCTATATTATTGGACAACAACTGTGGCTTTCAATGAATTCCAAAGCTATTAGCTCGCAAAAGATGAAAATGATATAAAAGATAAAACATTTTCTCCCCTTCACCAAAAGAATCTAAGCAAAGAAACTTATAGTGTGTGGTAGATTTTTCCCCTGACCTAAGTTTACCTGGGTCATCACGCCCCTAAACGTCTCTGAACGACTTTCAATGAAATTTATCCCAGCGCGTTTCCTAATCAATAGTTTTTCTACAATATGACTGGTTCTTCATGTATGTAATTCAGCAAACCCTTCTGTTACATAAAAGTCTGGTACCTTGATTACTCCAAATCATGAGTTCATAAAGACATCTGTCTAGTTTCATATCCCCTTTTGTTATATTCGGACATGAATGATTCAGACACACGTTGACTGACTGACACGTTGAGTGTTTGGGGACATTTCAGGTTTCAAATCCAGGTTAATCCTGCCAGAAAAATAAATGCTACTTATTAGTCATTTTTTTAAAAAGAAATACATCACAAGTGTTAGACAGATTTGAAATGTACTGGAAAAACCCATTACAAATGATTGCAGAAGTTCTTTGGGTATTGGGTGATGCTATGCGAAATTTACACTTAAGTGTGGGATGTTCATCTGTAGGCGATTTACTGTCGGCTTTTATTTGAAGACGGACACTATAACTGCAGTGTTTACAAATTTCATGCAAAAAGATGTACTGTATATAAATATGTAAATACTTTTTATGTCTATATGTTTCTGTCATTAATTTTAGAATTTTTATCATTTGTGTTCATTTATTTCAAATGTTAATTTCAATTATTTGTTTTATTGCACTGCCATTTGCCACATTACAACATTGCAGTCAAAATTTAATACAGGGCTTGTCAGATTTATCAAATTCTCAATAAAAAGTTTTGAACTTGTCATCTTTTCTTTGGATTTAGTAGCTTCATAATGAATGCCCAGCATGAGTCTCTTGCTTTACAATGATTCTGAAGTGCAAGGCTGCCCTCTTTTGTTTTTCCGAGGAAGGACAAGCAAGAATTTGATGCTTCAGTGATCGATTCCGAATGTTTGCTCCCTGGTTGAGAATCAATTTGCTGTAGAATAATTTGTACCATTATGAAATAGGCCTAGCTTATGTACAGGAATTGGAATATGGACCGTAATGATATTGAGAGCACGATTCGAAATCAAAACCATATGCTTTTGAAAATCAAGAACAAAAAGCCCTTTTCACTTCTTCATTTTTGCATTAGGTTCCTGGGTATGAAAATGCAATAGCCTAAACATGTCCCTTCTGACTCGAAGACAAAAATGTATTGCTATTTCTATCATAAACGTTTTTACAATCTAAAGAGATTAGTTCAAGTTCAAAGTTCACACAGTAGTTCAAAGTTTGTTTTTTTTTTAAACACAGGCTTTGTTTGAGCTCAGTTGCTCTCACTTCCTGTGACACATTTGCATGCATATGCGAGAATGTCATGCATATCTTCCAGCCTCCATCAAGTCTGATTATCGTCTCCAATGATGGAGTCCAACTCAACCTGTCAATTAGTTAATTTTGATTTTACGCACAAATTTTTGCCCTCCGTCTACGTGACTGTTTTCACTCTTGGAGTGATTGCCAACTGCTTCGGGCTGAAATCTGTCCATGATAACTGGAAGAAAATGGGCAATGTAAATATATTTGTGCTCAACCTTTGTCTGGCAGACATTTTATATCTTTTGACTTTGCCTTATTTGGTGGTTTACTACGCATCCAACAGCGAATGGATATTTGGAGATGTTTTCTGCAAGATTTTAAGATTGTGTTTTTGCATCAATCTGTACGGCAGCATTGGATTCCTCACATGCATCAGCGTCTACAGGTATCTCGGCATCGTGCACACTTTGAGAGTTAAAGGCAGAATTGCAGCCAAACACTCTGTGGTGATTGTTTCGCTGGTCTGGTTTTTTGTTTTTCTTCTGTGTCTGCCTGATATGTTTTTTGACAAAACTTCCAGGAACAAAACAACTTGTTTTGACACAACTTCAGACCAGTACATTAGGGAATACCTGAAGTACAGCATCGGAAGGACGGTTGTTGGATTCGGGATCCCGTTGTTAATCATGTTATGCTGCTACGGACATGTGGCGTTTACTCTGATGACCAAGAAAGACATCGATGTTATCTTGAAGCTGGGGTGTATCAGGCTGGTTGTCGTTCTCACGCTGCTCTTCTCTATTTGTTTCATTCCTTATCATATTTTTAGAAATTTCAACTTGGCAACTCGAATCTCCAAGCTGGACGGCTCGTGTCGGAAATGGTATTCTGATGTGTACATCGCAAACCAGGTTGGTAATGCAATGGCATGCATGAATAGTGCCATCAACCCACTGGTTTACCTCTTTAACAGTGATGAACGGCTAATGAAGTGTTTTATGAGGTGCAGACGAGCACGCCAAAAATATCCTGATGTCTCTCAGACGCATAATATTGAGAGCATGGCCATGAAATAGAGATTCATGTAGATTCTTTGTATGATAACTGTTTTTCTTGCCTCGAGGTCTACAGTGAGTAGCCTACCTTCAATGATTATTATCTCGTTCATTTTGAGGTTACATGCGGTTATGCCCTCCATTTCAGTAGGCGAGCCTACATCTTGTGACGGGATGTGAATTTATCGCTTCACTGGATTAGTTCAAACAGAACTGAGTTTGTTCTTAATGTGTTCTAGTTCAAAAAGCAAGGACATGATTATGCTAGCTAAAATTCCGTTCTTGTAACAGCATGGAGTGAATGATTGAAAACACATTTTGCTTCATGTTTGCATAGCCTACATGTTTTTATGTGAAGTAAATTCAGAAGAACTTCATAACTGATATTTTTGAGTTATTCATTTATCAACAGCATTGCTCTTGTTTTCATACAGTTGTTTCAACAGTTGCTATGTAAATAAAACAAAAACGATATTTTGTTATTACACTGTGGCCTATTGCAACTGAACCGTGCGGCAACTGAAGCCACTTTGCCTAAGGTAGGCTAAATATCAATTAAATACAATAAAAATGGGTTCACTTGGAACAAGGATAAATGTGGATATATTTTGATATTTAGCATAATGTATAACAATTCTAGGAGCATTTTAGTTTACTTTTGTATGATAAAAATTACTGTGTTGGGTCAAAACAAAAGGTAATAGTATTTCTTTAGCCCATTATTATCTTTGTCACAGTTTGTAAATATTAATTATTTTTTGTATATCTTTGTATTTTTTTTAGCATTGAGTTTTTTTTAAACACCATGCACCACAAATACTGTTAAGATCAAGTTGATTGTAAATCAATAAATATTTTGGAAAAAACTTTTTGTAATTTTTGTCTAAAGCTTTTGGAGATACATTTTTTTTTTACAGTTCATTTTGAAGTTCATGACTGTCAAGTACATACATTGATCTTGCTTTATATAGCGATGCATCAAAATGTTAACAGAAACCGACAAGACGTTAACATGTCATACAAGGATGAAATAAAAATTTTATCAAGTGAAAAAAAACAGTCACAGGTCAAACAAACATCATTGATCATTTCCTAACAAGGGCACATATTAAAGCTACATTGTGTGATTCCCCCCCATCTAGTGGTGAAAAGGTAGCCTGTGACCATCCGTTCCTCTCAATTCCGATTTCGTTTTAACTCCTACGGTGGCCAATGTAGTCCAAGATTAACATGGCTTCCAGTTCGACCTCGTCCATGACTGTTAACTCAAACGTAAACGCGAAAGGCGAAGCTTGAATTAACGGGTATGTCCCTCTTTGGCTAATGTACTTTCAAGATGGAGGGGCAACATGGCGACCGACATACACTAAGAACCCCTTACCCGTATGTATTTTCAATGGCATATTATACACTCACGAAAATACTTTATTACTTGAACGAAGTAAATATACATTAATGAGCACATATATTTTTGAAAGAACTAAGTGTTTTTAGCTAAGAATAAACTTAAAGAGTTACACAGTGTAGCTTTAGGTCTGGGTAGATTAGATGGTAAGCAAACAATCAGGTCTTGTAATCAACATGTTGGATGCAGGAGAAATGGGCAGGAATAAAGATCTGAGCAACTTTGACAAGGGCCAAATTGTTATGGCAGGGCACCTGGGTCAGAGTATCTGAAACAGCAAGGCTTGTTGGTTTCTCCTGGTCAGCAGTGGTATGAATTTACCAGCACCTACAATGGGCACATGAACATCGTAACTGGACCTTGGAGCAGTGGAGCAAAGTCGCCTGGTCCGATGAGTCCCTTTTTCTTTGACATAACATGGATGGCCATGTACATGTGTGCCAATTACCTGGGGAAGCGATGACACCTGGAAGCACTGTGGGATGACGACAAGCCGATGGAGGGAGTGTGATGCTCTGGGCAATGTGCTGGGAAACCCTAGATCCGGTTATTCATGTGGACATAAATTTGACACTTGCCACGCTACCTGAACATTGTTGCAGACCTGGTACACCCCTTCTTGAGAATGGTGTTCCTGGGTGGAAGTGCCATCTTTCAGCAGGAAAATGCACATTACTCACATTGTTCAAGAATGGTGGAACATGATGAAAAGTTCAAGATGTTGCCCTGGCCTCCAAATTCTCCAGAACTCAATCCAATAGAGCCTCTCTGTATATGTATATATTGTTTTTAAACTAAACTTTGTTTGGCTTGTGGATAAAAAGCATATTAACAGTCAGCAACATAACACTATGTTTGCTCGCTGAGCTTGTGAACTCTTGGGCGAGCAGATATTAAAGGACAAGGCCAGGCGGCACAGATCATATGTCTTCATGTCATCAGGGTGGGGGTGATGCACAAGCTTCTCTTGCTCAGTTACATTAAAATGAGCGTCTGAAATACATCACACTGCTCAGGACACAAGTCGGGGATCTTTCCGGATATTTTTCCCTAATGATGGACGCGCTTCCAAAGGACTTTCTCAGAAGAACCCGTTGTGACAGTGCCGGTGAGTTTAAAGAAGTTCAAACTGAACTGAGTGAGTGCATGTGAGCGGGCAACAGATGAATAGAATCGATAGTTTACAGCACAAGCTGTCAGGAAAAGGCAATGCTTTTTTTGTGTTGATGATTTTTATTTTGGTTTCTCCATTATTTGGTTTGCTACATTGAGCAAAATAATAAAATTATTTAACATGTTCATTTCAGTCACTATGAAGCACGAGTAGCACATGTAGTCACAGTAGTGTAGTATGTGTAATCAAGGAAGCTGTCTCAGGGCAAAGAGATCAGATATCAGAGTAAAAGGAAAAAGCAAAGAGTGCACACACCAATCTGTTTACTTGTCTGAAAAATTCCTGAGATTGTATTAAGGTTGTTTTTGAACCATTCTTAACAACAAACATAAAAACCAGATCATAAAGACCTTTCATTTTTAACCTAACTAAAATAATCACATTAGGCATTAAAAATAAACTGCAGTCCCACTGTTCTATAAAGGCAAAAAAAATAAAAAATCTTCACAATATAACATATTTGTTATTTGTATGAATTTAACTAAAATTTACTTGGACACTTTAGGACATATATCTTTGTGAACATGAAGGGAACATTCAGTAGAAATCACTATCACATGGAATGGTTAAAATTGAACCCAAAAGTGGCTCAGAAAATACTTGTTTTTTTGACTATTAAGTGCCACTTTCTTAAATATATTTTGCATCTATAGACGGAGCAACAACAAATTGTGACATTAGTTGTGACTTTTAAAACTTGTAACTTTGTAACCTTTGGCCGTCTATTGGTTAAAAAATAAAACGACATGAGTCTTGTGGAAGGACATTGTTTTTTGATTGTGCTTCTATGTATTCCTTTTTGCAGATGAATGTAATCGAGGCATGTAATCCATTAGGGCATCTTATCAGAGCGTATGGACAAATAAATAATGACCTTTTTCCCCCAAAAGGCGGTCTGAGGGTTGTTATTTTAAATGATCCATGAGTAAGGTTGGTACGATAAACTTTAAGCTTTATCCACAACCAGAGCTTTTTTTCTCTGTGTGTACGTAGCCTATAATCAACGCATTCTCATCCCAAGGCGTAATATACTGACGCTTTTGCCAATGCGTATACATCCAACGCACATGGCACCCTTTTGCGTCAATATAACACGCTTTGGGTATGGGTAGGTTTAGCTCTGGGTTAGGGTTAGACCACTAGGAGGCGCCTTCTGGCTCATATATATCTGCGTCTCATATTGACGCTAAAGGGTGCCATGTGCTATGGATGTATGCATTGTCAAAAGCGTCAGTAAATGACGGCTTGGGATGAGAATGGGCCGGCGAAATCAGCCCTAACAGCTTTAAAATAAATGTGATTAACACAGGTTTTAGGTGTACCTATGTGTGAAAATACATGATTTGTAAAACAGAGCATTGATGGCTTATAGGCTACATTTCCAGCCACATCTGAAGAGTAATCACACACGCATCAGAATTCTGCAGGTAGTGCATCTGTGTCAACATCCTGTCTGCGTGCTGCACTGCATCATAGCAGCCACATCTTAAAATGTCTTTACTGTACATATGGCTTTCTGCAGAGAATATGTTAGAGGCCATGCTATCAGATGACACATGGTGACAGGGAACAACCCGATATTAGGCAAATGCAGAATCAGACATGACCCTTAAACGCATAGGCCTAAGTCTGTCTGCAGTCTTGCTAATCTTATTTACCACATCCTGTCCTTATCAAGCTTTTGAACTAGACCTCAATAGCCGCGTTTCCACTGCCGGGCCAGGGCCGGGCCGTGCTAGTGCGTGCCGGGGCCAGTCGCGTTTCCACTGTCACTTCCGGGGCTTGATCGGGGCTTCCTCAGGGCCAACGGCCAGGATTTCTGGCCCGTCGAATACCTGGGGCCAGCTCGGGCTAGAGGCGTGCTCAAGGTAAAAGGCGGAGTTTATCTGTGTTATGGAAGGTTATGATCTGAAGCAAGATGCACAGGGGTGTCCATGTTTAACCTATTAACCGTTTAAAATTGCATAACATTTTAATTTGAACTGTAGGCCTATGCCAAAATCTGCGCAAAAATATATAGGCTACATATCGACGAATTTTCAGATATTTGTTTGATTTTTTTGCCCCTCATAAACATTTAAAATATTTGACAAATTAATATAAAAAATATATATATTTTACTGGTTTTCTGAGGCCAAATTAAGTGCTGAATGAGAAGAGCCGTAACCGCAGCCTACAGAAAGGGGATTTATAGGTGATTTATAGGCTATAATAAATGTGTCTAATAATAAAATAATATAAAATAACGAGGCATTAATTGTTTATTAATAAACTATTGTTTTCTAAATGATTTTCGGCTAAAATATCTCCATCTCCGGATGCACTTTTAGAGAGAAATTAATTAGCTAGCTACATAATTAGGCTACATAGTCGGAAGATATTGGCTTTCGATTCGAATTTGTTCGTTTTAAATTGGACATTTAAAGCTTTATAACCCCTGTAGACTAAAGCTTTAAATGTCCAATTTAAAACGAACAAATTCGAATGCGGTGGCTGTTTCAGATCTCGCGCTTCAGTTCACGGAGATCATGAAGCGCGCCTTGATTAATTGTTAAAGCACAACGTTTTCTTGTTATTGTGAGTTTACGCAAATAAATGTATTTGCGAATAATGTATTATTATTTTCTGTATGACCAGAAATGAAAGAGTATTTTAAGTTGTTTCCACTGAAAGAAATGCAATGAAACTATTCACATGGGCGTCTCGCAGCCATCAGTGCACGCTCCACACACACTGGATATGCGATTATGCGTCAAAATATTGTGTTTATTTGTGCTCTGTTCCTTTTTTGGATAAAGGCGTCTTCTACATATGCAGCCTAATAAAATGTTACAATAATGATGATGATGGTTATTATTACTATTATTATTATTATTATTATTATTTGCAGACACGGAGTTTTTGTGAAATGGACGTTTTGCTTATTTTCAATTGGCAATTTCAGTTTGAAGGGTGATGGAAATGCGGCTTTAACTGCTCCGTACTTGCTGCGTTTTATTTCTATAAATTAATTTCGTTTCAAATGGGGTCCAATAAGTTATTAAAGGTGTTAAAAAATTAACTCTGTATCTCGAGGTTGCGGCGCGCACACTATGCACCGAATATTAACCGATGGGCCTCGGTTAACGGTTAATGAATAACTTGAAAACGTGCCCGCAGCCCTATGTTATATCGCGCAAAAAATCGCTGCTTGAAATGGAGAATCGCCTGTACTGGTCTCGGGACACAATTGGGCAGGTGAGTTAATATACATGCTATCTTCCTAATTTAAAAAATAAATTCATTCATAATACCCGCTGAAATGGGTTGGGTTTTATGACGTTTGATCCAGAAAGGCGTGTTAGAGGTGGGGTCTGGGGCAGCGCTGTGGGGCTACTGGCCCGGCAGTGGAAACTCTTTTGCTAAGAGCAATATTGAAATTCATTTTAATGTTTACAGTGTCTTTTAGAATATATTTTTTAACTTTAATGAAGAATAAGATCAAAAGTAGTATTAAGCTAGTTGATAAGAAATTGAAAAACAATCCACACACACAAATATATATAGGCCTGTATATATATATATATATATATATATATCCATGCATATATATATATATATATATATATATATATATATATATATATATATATATATAATGTATATGTGTGTGTAGTTTTTTTTCGAGAACTTTACAAATGAAGACACTATATAATTAAGACTAACTGTGACAATTTTGAAAATATATACTGGAACATATCTGAACATAATGTTTTATTTTTATTTAGGTATGGCTATCACTTTTCTCATGAAGCCAAAAGTGACTGGCTCAAAGCCTCTGAAGGGTTAATTAAGTCAATAACCAATGACAGCCAGGATTATGTCTCTCCACCTGCCAAACCTGTCTCTCCTCCCACCTGTTCCCGCCTCAGTCAGGTGACTTGAACAGAAACAAGGTTGATGGGAACCTAGCCATGTGTTCTTAGTTTCTAAACATAGTCCGCAGTGCAGGGCCCAATAACATGTCCTCCGAGCAGAAGGAGCTCACACAGACACCTCTGCTCAAGATATGGGTGCCAGGGATGAACAGTTCCTCAAGCCAGAGGAGAGGATGTAAGTGAGGAGAAATTTTCATTCACTTGCCTTTCCGTATCTTTTTTGCCATTTGCTTTTTCTCTGTCCTTTCAAATTGTTGGTGCATTAAGGATCTTAACCTCTTGTAGATGATAAATCCATGTGTTGTGAACTTCAGCCCCACCTGCTTCCTTTTTCTACATTTGATCACATACTGTCTTGAAGCGGCTCCAAGTAGCAAGTTGTGTTCTTGAGTGCTTTGTTTCTTCAGTTGTGGCAACGTAATGAAAAGGAATATTAAGTTCAGGAGTTGGCTTCATCACCAATGTGATTCCTTGGTTTCTGTGGGATGTTCTTTAATTAGTTTTTTATACATTCAGCCTTTCTTCGCTATCCAAGTCATATGAATAAACCCTGCCGTCTCAGTGTCATCAATGACAATCTAATGATGATGGACATGTTTCAATGCAGAATTGAATGGGTTCCTGTATGTTGTTTTGATGCTGCCATGAGCTATGCCAGTTCTCTCCTTGAACCTCTTTCATTCTTCATTCAGGCTATCAAATAGATTTTATATATTGACATCATCTTGTGAATGCATAGAACATCTTAATCCTTGTGATCAAAACCTACTCATACTTTAAAGTCCATGTTTTATTATGGTCCACAGCTTCAAGGCCCCAGTTTACAAACTGTCCCACATTGATTGTGATGATTGGACTGCCGGCCAGAGGTAAGACCTACATCTCCAAAAAGTTAACCCGATACCTAAATTGGATTGGAGTGCCAACTCAAGGTGAGTGTATGCATCATGTAAGTGATCAGCTCTTAATGGCAAGCATTGCTTATGTTAGCAGTAGATATATATATAAAGTATATACAGTGAGAGAAATAATTATTTGATCCTCAGCTGATTTTCTAACTTTGCCCACTTACAAAGAAATTAAGGGTCTATTTTTATGGTACGTTTATTTTAATGGATAGCGACAGAATACCAACCAGAAAAAACAGACAACTGTTGGTGCCATTATTCAGAAATGGAAGCAATACAAAAAAAATAACCATCAATCACCCTCTGTCTTGAGCTCCATGCAAGATCTTGCCTTATGGGGTACGGATGATCATGAGAAAGGTGCGGGATCAGCCCAGAACTACACGGGTGGAGCTTGTTAATGATTTCAAGGCAATTGGGACAACAGTCACCAAGCAAGCAATTGGTAACACACTATGCGCAATGGATTGAAATCCTGCAGCGCCCGCAAGGTCCCCCTGAGAAATGCTGACTATGACCACAAGAACACCATCCCTGCTGTCAAACAGGTGTAACCATCATGTTTTTGGGCTGTTTCTCTCTTGTAAGGGTACAGGATGATTGAGGGGTCTTCCAGTATGACAATGACCCAAAACCAACCGCCAAGGCAACAAATAAGTGGCTCAAGAAGAAGCACATTAAGGTCTTGAAGTGTCTCTAGTCCTTAATCCTATCTGTGGAGGGAGCTGAAACCTCGAGTTGCCAAGACATTGCCAAGAAACCTTAAGGATTTAGAGAGGATCTGTAAAGAGGAATGGATCAAAATCCCTGCTGAGATGTGTGCAAACCTGATGACCAAAAACAAGAAACGTGTGCTTGCCAACAAAGGTATCACCACCAAGAACTAAGGCATGTTTTGCTTGGGGATCACTTATTTCACTTACTGAAATGCAAATCAATTTATAACCTTTATATAATTTGTTGATATTCTGTCTCTGTCCGTTAAAATAAACCTACCATAAAATGTATAGACCCTTAATTTCTTTGGAACTGTGCGAAGTTACAAAATCAGCAGGAATCAAATAATTAATTTCCTCCACTGTGTATATACACACACACACTGTTAGACATTACCAGGTTTTTTACAGTAAAATACTGGCAACACTGTTGCCAGTAATTTACTGTAAAAATGCACTAAAACTAATAAGTTGTATTTTTTAGGGAACTTGAGTTTTAGTGCATTTTTACAGTAAATTACTGGCAACAGTGTTGTAAAAATACACTAAAACTAATAAGTTGTATTTTTTAGTTAACTTGAGTTTTAGTGCATTTTTACATTAAATTACTGGCAACAGTGTTGTAAAAATGCACTAAAACTAATAAGTTGTATTTTTTAGTTAACTTGAGTTTTAGTGCATTTTTACAGTAAATTACTGGCAACAGTGTTGTTTTTACTGTAAAAAACCTGGTAAGCTCTAACAGTGTGTGTATATATATATATATATTATTAGTATTAATTGTACTCTCAATGGCAAGCATTGTTTTTTAATTATTAAATTATTTGCTGATAAAATGTTTAGCATATGTTTAGCATTATTTGATTTAATAAAAAAATGTGTGTGTGTGTGTGTTTAAATATACATTGTTTGCTAACAGAATATTTTTATTGTGCTGTTGTATGCAAAGTATTTAATTTAGGTCAGTATCGAAGGGAGGCTGTGCAGACATACAAGAACTATGAATTTTTTCGTCCGGACAATGAGGAGGCCATGAAAATCCGCAAGTAAAATACATTTAAAATGACTATATATATATACTGTATATATATATATATATATATATATAACTTCTAAATATGTTTGAACTCAATGTGAGAGAACTGAATTTGTCTTTTGTAACTAATAACTATGTATTTCCATGTTTTCAGAACCTGTGCCTCAAATGCTATTAAGGACATTGCCAATTACTTCGCTAAGGAGCAGGGACAAGTAGCAGTGAGTCAAGAATGTAATGGATAACAGTTATGCTGTCTGTCCAAGCTATCTCAGTACAATTATGATTATTAATATTGGATTAGTTTGGAATTCTCCAGTGGGTCAACAAATTCTTAAAATGTAAATCAATCTCTGAAAAATACTCTTCACAGGTGTTTGATGCTACCAATACCACGAGGGAGAGAAGAAGCATCATCATCAGTTTTGCAAAGGAGAAGGGCTACAAGGCAGGTGCAGCAGGGTTTTACATTTATTCGACAGTCTGCTTTATTAAAGTCTCCCTCTACACACATCTAACTAACCCTAACCCTAACGTGCAATGTGATGATTTGTTGGATGTTACCTCAAAATGATAGCTTTCAAAGATAATTTATAAAGATAAATACCTTATAAATTAAGGTATTTATTAATTTAAAATGCTTAAACCAAAGATAAAAATGTGACAGGATCCCGATGGGGAGACGAGTCCATTCTGTTTGAATGGAAGTCAATGAAGTGGATGCCTCAGTAGTGTACGCTGAATAAACTTTTTTATTTTGGTAACAGCTTTTTGTCACATAAACCAACTGCCTGCCCACTAACCTTAAACATTGTTTATATTAATTCTGGAGTGAGCTATATTTGGATTGCTGAAAATAGTTGTTTTTAAAGCATATTTGACTGTTTTTTTGCCTTGAAAGCAGTTTATTGATATTAAATAACAAAGCATTTTAAAAACAGTTAAAATGTTGTCACACTTTAATATCTTGTAAAATTGTCGTTTTAGCAACCAACATTTCATAAGAAATGTTTATGTCCAGGTGTTTTTCATTGAGTCGATTTGTGACGACCCTGAAATCATTGAGGCAAATATAATGGTAAGATTGTTTTATTAAACCATTTATAATGTTAAACTATTAAGAGTATAATATTATTATTTGCTTGTTTGTTTTATTTGATGTATTTTGACAGCAAGTAAAATTAAGCAGCCCGGATTATGAAAACTACGACAAAGAGGAAGCACTGGTGGACTTCCTGAAACGTATTGATTGCTACAAAATGTCCTATGTCTCCCTGGATGAGGAAAAGGACAAGTACACTGCTGCCAAATTCAATTTAAAGCTGCAGTCCGTAGCATTTTTGGGGTCAAAAATGATCCAAAATACATTGAGAAAATACATAACCGGCTAGTGTTCAAAACTATCCGCTTGCCTTAGTTTGATTCAAAACGGTAAGCTTATAATGTTTTTAACTCCAGTGATACTGGTGGATTTCCGCGAGAAGATGATACGTTCATCCACTCTGTGCCGTGTCGAAGTACAACTCATGTAAAGTTGATAATTCCGCGAACAACTGCAATTGCAGATTTTGAACAGAGATGGCGACAAAGAGGAAAAACTGCGGACTGCAGCTTTCATATCATGTTATTGTACATAACTTCTAACTACTACATCATCACCTTCCTAAAATAATTGTCAAAGTCCTTTTTTCAGGTTTCTCAGAAAACACAAAAAACTGAACAAATAATTGAATATATGATATTTATTTCGTTCTTTATAATACTTTTTGATGGAGCTGCCATCTTGAAAAGCTTGTAAAATTTCCTAACTCATGTTGTCTTTTGATTTAGGCAAAATAAAACGGTCTTAGTCACACACTTGAAATAGGCCATTATTCTACAGGAGTATCATCATGAGGAGGTGACTTGTGCAAAAAAAAAAAGTCAATAAATAACGTAGGCGATTATTTTAGGAAGGTGACGACATACAATACATAATTACAAATATTTCTTATTTACTGACTTAACTCCTTTAAACTTTGTCCCCTCTGTTTCATAGGCACCTCTCATTCATTAAGATATTTAATGTGGGATCCAGATACCTCGTAAACCGGGTCCAGGATCACATGCAGAGTCGTATTGTGTATTACCTCATGAACATCCACGTCACTCCACGATCCATCTATCTGAGCCGCCATGGAGAAAGTGAACTCAACCTGCGGGGGCGAATCGGTGGAGACTCGGGTCTCTCCTCACAGGGCCTAAAGGTGATTTAGATACTAAACTAAAAGTATAAAATCTCAGTTTACACCTCAAAGTGTCAAAAATGTTAATGGTAAACTGTTACATCCACATTAACCACATTTTTGTTTCGAAATGCCACACTAACACTGAAACGTCTAAAACGTAAATCACCGTACTGTGCATGTGTGAGGGTGGGACAACTTGTCACCTGTCACTCACAATTCCCAATGTACAAAATCAAGTCACGCCCTACATTTTTTTTTCTTGTTCAAGAAGATACATTTTAATAGGAAAGTAAAGACTATCGCAACTTCTGCAGACTGTAAATATTTTACTTCTAGCATAAAAATGCTAGAAGAACGAAATAAATTCTGTGACTTGATTTAAACCTTCCTTAAACACAAACATGTAGATAAGAATTGCATCTATCTTGTTGCTCAGTATGCTAAGGCCCTCTCCGAGTTCATCAGGGGTCAATCCATCAATGACCTGAAGGTGTGGACCAGCCACATGAGAAGGACCATACAGACAGCCGAGGCACTGGGCGTCCCATATGAACAGTGGAAGGCGTTGAATGAAATCGATGCTGTAAGCTATGCTCTGAATTAAAGTTGTATGCACAATTGCACATGAAATGCATATGTAACAGAGTTACATCTTGACATTTTAAGGGTGTATGTGAGGAAATGACTTACGAGGAAATTCAGGCGACCAATCCAGAAGAGTTTGCCTTAAGAGACCAGGACAAGTACCGCTACCGATATCCAAAGGGTGAAGTGAGTTAACATCACAATTGAATTTGTATGTGGGAATATATAGGAAAATACGCCCTTTTCTGTGTTCTGCAGTCATATGAAGACCTGGTGCATCGTCTAGAGCCAGTCATAATGGAGCTTGAGAGACAAGAGAATGTGCTGGTCATCTGTCACCAGGCAGTCATGCGTTGTCTACTGGCCTACTTTCTGGACAAAAGTGCAGGTCTAAACCAAAAGCAACCGTCACTTTGATAGCATCGTCTGTGCCAATTATACATCTCTGATTTCTCCACAGATGATCTACCTTATCTGAAGTGTCCTCTGCATACTGTTCTCAAACTGACTCCATTAGCTTATGGTGAGTCGGTATAGCTGTGGCTTTATTTCAAACATAATTTGGTGTCCTGTTATGTTTTAAAGGTGTGCTGTTACCACACCATTTTCCCTCATTACACACGACTTCATTGATTCTGTACCCTATTCATGGAAAGTGCTGCACATACTTTTGAGCAATAAAACTGTGTTCGTTTATGCCCTCCTCGCAGGATGCAAAGTGGAGTCCTTCTATTTGAACGTTCAAGCAGTGAACACTCACAGGGACAAACCCACAGTAAGTCATGAAACTCTATGGAATGATGATTTTTTAAACTCTGATGAGTCTCTAAAAGGGATTTATTGTCTACATTCCAGAATGTGAATATCGCAAGAAAGCCAGAAGAAGCACTCCAGACTGTACCTGAACATTCATAATCATAAAAAACCCTAGAATTTTCCATTTTTGCACAATTTATGTATACATACTGTAGCCTATATAGATTGTGTACACGGATAGCAAGGTTGGAGGGAAAATATAAAAAGGACAGAAGCATGTGTTTTCAATTATCAAATTGATTATGCAGTTTGGTCCAAAAGTCTGAGACCACATCTGGGAATGTTTTTTTGTTGTTGTTGTTTTAATATGAAAGCAAAAGGAAAGACACTATGAAATGTTAATGTTAATTAAACTCCTTTAAATTATGCCGATCATACATTTTGTTTTAAATTAGAAAATAAAAACTCAATTTTTGCATTTTTACTTGTGGTCTTGGACTTTTGAATCTTACTGTAGTTTTCAAACTAAACTTTAAAAATCAAGTATTTTGGTATTTTTGTTCATAAGATGGTGGCAAAATGTTACAAGTTGAAATAGATATTGCAACTAAAGAATGAATTATTTTTACCTTTTCTTATTTTAAAATGTTTAGTAGAAAGCAGGTGAAATCCCTGTTGTATGACTGAATGTAGCCTTTTGTTTATTAATCTGACTGTTTTATTAACGTGTTCAAAGAGCTGGTAATAATGCCCTATTTATGCATACATTAAGTACAGTATTCAGACGCTTGTTCAGTTAGTTACCAGTACCATGGACAGCAACCAAACAAATAAATCTATATTAGTCATCACAATATCTCACTTTACTCCTCACACTTCATAATTTAGTATGTCCACGAGAGCCTCTCCAAAAGTGTATTCCAGCCTATAACTGACATTTCTATAGTTGAAATTCAGTTATCTAATTTTACATAAAATATAGCGACGGTAATGTGGTTTAGAAAAAGTATTTAACGACTGGAAAGCTGGCAGACATTTTTACAACTGTAGGCAATCACGGGTTAATGGTTTGTGTTTTTCTTTTTTGCCCCCTCAAAACCGTGGCGAAATTTCCAGCATGTACACGTGAAAAGAGCTCCCCTTGAAACCCACAAATACCTGCGCATGATCGAAACACCAAGGTATTTATTCAGTCTAAATAAGCATCCATCTCTCTCATGGCATTATCGTGGGTTCAGTGTAATTTTTAGGATCTCTTTGGAAGGGAGGGGGCAATACTACCCTTTTTATAAACAACTGTGTGCCGTAAAATGTGAAGTCAGTAGAAGACCTTACGCACTCGTCTTACGAGCAAAACAGTGGTTTTGGTTTTCCCACACACTGAAGCATGGATGTTAAATTGGATTTGACTGTCCACGCAGTTGTTTTCATCCTAATTACTGTTGTTTATTTTGGATGTGGGCACGCCGGCGCGCACTCCCCTCTCCAGGTATGTGTACTTGGTAATAAAACTATTGTTCATATGTTTGCACTTAGTTGTTATTTTACTCTTTGGTCTGTGACGTTTCCTTTGAAAAGTAAAAAGTAAAACGTCTAGTTTGTTTTGAGTGACCGATTTTATTTTGTGCTAAACTGAAAGTGCACCTCGTCACACAATTACGCGCGAAAACATCTGAGGAATTTCGGTTCTAGTGGAATATTATTTCATTCTATAAAAAGGGTTTATTTACTTAAAGAATCATTTATTTACTTTTTTGCATCTAGAATGATAATGTCTTACGAAATCAAACGAGAGCAAGGTAAATAAAATGTATTTTGAAATCATAGTCTAATTATTCCGAGCTGCAGTGTTTTCTGAAATATGTTCACATTTTAAGTTATTTGGAGTCTTGACCAAAATAACTTAAAACCCAATTAGAATTCTGTACGAATGTTTTATGGATTCATTTATGGGTCAAATAATGAAAGCGGAAAGGTAAGGGAGGAAATCATGAAGGTGTTGCCCTATGAATTTTATACATTCACATATTATGCAAATTAACTTATTTCGTGCATATTAACACAATTTTATGTTATGATTACTTTTTTTATTAGGGTGTATTCAGGTTGATTGCAACGTTTTTTCCTCAGTCATCATCTCAATGGCAAAAATATCAACCTGAATTCACTCCTATTATAAAATGTGATGTAATACTCTCACAGAGTGGTTTCATTTAAAAAGTGTACTGGAAATTCATAGTAGCAGAGACACATTTCTTTCCCATATTTAGCATTTTGTTTATATTTGCAGTAGATGTGGTAATACATTGGCACAGCAGTGAATTGTGTCTAAAGTTAACATGTTAAATCCTCCATTGGCCTTGTGTGTACAGTATTTTAGTTCCATTTCCACCCCTTTCATGAATGACTTTGATTCAGGCTATTTCAATTTAAGATCAAGACCAAACCACTGGCATCTGAGAAGTATAATACTGACAGTATTTCAATCTATTTCTTCATGTATGCCTCTGCCCGCAAAGGTACATTTATGGTTGGCAATTTAAGTTAATCAAGTTTACCAAGTCCATATGGATACTTACAGGTATTACTTAGATACTTTTATGTGGCATACTTTTACTAAATACAGCTGAGTAAGAGTACATTATTCTGGTCAGGACATATAAAGAAAAAGATATAAGCCTGACATGTAACTTTGTTTTTGTTTTTTGTTCAGAGACCGAGACGTCAGACCTCAGCAGCAAAACCAGCAGTAAGTGTGACAGTAAAAGCTACATTTTTGTTTCTTACTAAACTGTAAACATTAAGATAAATTCCTTGTTTTACTTGTTATTTTTTTTACTTGGGTTTATTGTGAAATTCCATAAATCACATATAGCCTACCGTTCTTGCCTTTTGACCCATGAGTTCCTTTTCATTTTAGAAACCAAATGTTTATTCCTGTAAAATACACGAGAACGACTTAAAAGCAATATGACCAGAACAATCAAAATCTGTCACTGGACACAGAGAGCAAAATTCTGTCATCTTAACAATGTACTGACAGAAGCTCAAATTTGGGATATCTTTTAGTCTTTTAGTGTTCCTCATTTCTATCATCTTGTTCTAATTATTTTAATACCTGATTGTGTCACAATCTTGCCTATAGATAACTTTATAATTTTATACAAAGCTTCTTGTAGTGCTATGCTGTTGTATGCAGTGTTCAGATTGACTAGTTTTTCTGTTGCCAGACCAATGTGGTCTGAATCAGGTTCAAGTAAACAGATCAAGATGTTCTATATACTGAGCTCTGACATCAGTTCAAAAGTCCTGAGAAATCAACAGTAACACGCTAATCATACAAATTGTTTGATAAAGCAATGTCGTTTTAGAATTGGTGTCTTATGTCAGATATGCCCATTCAACTTGTTCATGTGTACAGATAGCAGAGATTGGGATATTTGTCACACAGGGAAGTTGTCTTCTCATGGAAAGAATGCCTTTTTGTGATGTTTTGTGATAACTATACTAGCCCTTTTTTCCCCTAATTTGTGTAAAATGTGATCTGGCATATTGGTATGATGTTTTGGTCTTTGTTGTGCCCTCAGCTCAAGGTGACGGATTACCATGTGCGCTGTTCTGTAGTGTCTCGCTATGCTGTAACCACAGTGGAGAGCACCGTGTGGAACCAGCTCCACATCACTAAGGAGGCGGCCTTTGAGGTGGATTTGTCCTCTTCTGCATTCATCTCCAACTTTACAATGTGAGTGAAACATTACACCACATTTTCTTTCTGTTTTTCTGGCTTTCAGACTGTCAGTTTAAAATTAGGATATATTGCAATTATATTGAATATCATTTGGCTTAAGCTTGAGGTTTCCCCTGAATGGACACAGCAGGATTGTACTTGTTCCAATGATCTGTTCATGTGGAAAGAAGTGCTTTGTGAAAAATATTTTTAATGCTCAGATCTGGTTTACAGAAATAATTAAAAGATTACCACACTTAAAAGTGAAAGTTCAACATTTACTCGACCTCCACATGTCATTTCAAGAATGACTTCCTTTCTTCTGTTACATCACAAATACATTTTGTTCTTTTCCATGCAGATGAATGGGAACTTGCAAGCTGTAAAAAGGATACAAAAGTACCATGAAATTATCACAAAAATGATACATTATTTTTCAAGTCTTTTAGAGCCGTACAATAACTTGAGTGACAAAGGCACTTATATTTGCAAAAAAAAAAAACAACAAAAAAAAAAACAATATCCGGCCTCCTTGGCACATTCGTCACGAGTGAACAAATTCCTTTAAGTTGGATTTTTTCAATGAATCAGCCGATGGAAGTTCTTGAGTTAAAATCTAACTAAAGTGTAAGATATCAAGTGACTGACGACATAAAATTGGTCTGATTGACACATGATGTTTTATTAACAAAATTCGGGAGGAGCACTTTCAGATAATTAATCTAATTAACATGGGAGGAGCTCATCCAGTCCACTCAATAAGCATTAGGAGAGACTTACCTCTGTTCACCACCCCATCTCCTCACTTCTAACTATTCCTATCCCAACCTGGCATGGAGTACTCTGGGTTCGGGCCATATTCCGAGCTCGGAGCCCTTCCCTCAGAGAGCATGCTAAATACACATAACCTTTACTCTATTTAATTATATGTAAGTGTGAACTCGTGAAACAAAGTTTTTGATGACTTCTAAAGACTTGAAATATAGTCATAAGTGGTCCATAAAAATGACAATCCTCTCTTCATTGCACTCTCTTGTTGTTCCAAACCAGTATAAGCTTCAAAAAGATGAAAAGCACCTTAAAGTATCGTATGGTGCTTTTTTGTTGAGGACTTTTATAATAAAACTTCTATGAGAGACATTGTAAAGAATTCATATTCGCTCAGCAGATATGAGTGTGTTATGTGAACCTCTTTTCCAAAAATGAATGCTAAATATAAATATATTCCCACAAATAAGGCTCCATAACAGCTTGATAAAGCACACAGTGGCTGGATTTGGAAGCCAACATGGGTCAAAAGTAAAGAACGTTCAGGCCAGATGAATAGCAGGCTTTGTTAAGAAAACTCAGAGAGCTAATAGAGAAAATGACGAGTACTGGCTCTGTTCACTCTCTCTTTTACCCAGCAGAGTTTACCAAGGCACATGGCCAAAGTACACACGCTCACACATTTACGTGTACATAAATACACACATGTATGAAGAATGCACACATGTATCCATCGACAAAGCAGGGTTTCAAGTTTCAATGTACATCACAGATGCTGAAGGTATCACACACTTTTGTACGCACAAAAACAGACAGGCACTTCCACCAGGCTTTGTACTTTTTCAAATAACTGCAGCAAATGTGTTTCTTTAGAGCAGTAGTGTTTGTTAAACTGTGACTGAGAGCTCTGTTCACAGTGTCACATGCACAGTGATCCCAGACCTCTCAGTGCCACACATACATACAGGCGCCTCATTTTCCACTGTG